GGTTGCTTCACCTCTCTGAGCCTCAGGCTGTAAAAGCGAGTGCTGATGCTCCACCTACCCACTTCCAGCTGCGATTCTGAAACCCAGGTGCATGAAGAACGCAGAAAGCCTTGCACAACCCTGAAAGCTCTTTCTGACGAGGGGCTGCTGGTGGTGACTCTCACTTTCTGAACAGGAAACACGCCAGGCTCCAGGCCGAATCCTTATCCACAGACCCTCCAGCCACCTAACGCACAGTCATGATCATGCACGGGTTGCAGATCAGGAAACCAAAGTTGAAAGCGCTTCAGGGCTTCGCTTGAGGCCCTGCATCTGGGAACTCCTTGGGCTGGAGGTTGAGACTCGAAGGCCTCTTCCTCCTTCCTCCCCCGACTCCAGTAGCCCGGGGAGGAGAGTGCAAACACAAACAAAGGCCCGTGGCCTCCCCAGGATTTCTTGGTTTGGTTTTGACTCTTCTGGAAGACACCCAAAGAAAGAGGAACCTAGACTGCCAGCCTGCCTGCCTGCCAGCCGCCCTCGGGACAGCAGCCTGGCCCCGGAGCTGCTACTTGTCAATCGGCCGGGAGCAGCCTTCCCGCCGGCCTTTCTGAGAAGCAGCCAACTGTTTCCCGGCCACCGGCAGCCTCAGCCTTTGTCTGAAATCGGCTGAAACCACCTCTGCTGGCCTTTCCCGCCCACTGCTGAGAGAATAGCAGGATGTTTGCTGTTCTAGCGGGAGGGAAATAAATGTAGTCTTTTCTTTTTCGCTTTTCTTCTTTCAGGTTTATTCCCCCCCCCCTTTTTTTTTATTGAATTTATTAGGGTGACACCGGTTAACAAAATCACACAGGTTTCAGGTGCACAGTTCTGTGTGTCCCCCACCCCAACGCAAGTCTCCATCTGTTTGACGATCAAAGCTGAACACCGAGCAATGGCCCACGAGGCCTTCCAGCACCTGGCTGTGGGTTGCCCACTCACCTTCTCTCCGCCCGGCCCCGGTGCTCCCACCAGTGCTCCTCAGATCCCAAACCCAGGAGCATCCCCACCTTGGGGCCTTTGCAGCTGTGGCCCATGACTTCCCAGATCGCTGGGTCCCAAGTCCACCCCTCGCCCACGCATCACGTCACTCAGCTGGAGCTCAAAGGGCACCTCCTGGGCCACCTGGTTAGAGCCGACCCTGCCCTCCAGGTAGGCATGGTCCCCTGACTGGGGCGCTCCTAGCACATCACCCCATCGTCTCCGGCAGTGGTCGGCAAACTGCAGCTCTCGAGCCACATGCGGCTCTTTGGCCCCTTGAGTGTGGCTCTTCCACAAAAGACCACGGCCTGGGCGAGTCCATGTTGAAGAAGTGGCATTAGAAGAAGTTTAAGTTTTAAAAATGTGGCTCTCAGCCGAAACCGGTTTGGCTCAGTGGTAGAGCGTCTGTCTGCGGACTGAAAGGTCCCAGGTTCGATTCCGGTCAGGGGCATGTACCTTGGTTGTGGGCACATCCCCGGTAGGGGGTGTGCAGGAGGCAGCTGGATGTTTCTCTCTCATCGACGTTTCTAGCTCTCTATCTCTCTCCCTTCCTCTCTGTAAAAAATCAATAAAATATATATATATTTTTTTAAATGTGGCTCTCAGAAGAAATTTCAGTCGTTGTACTGTTGATCTTTGGCTCTGTGGACTAATGAGTTTGCCGACCCCTGGTCTGCCGAGTGACTTGTTCGCAGGTTCGGTTCTGCCATCGTGGGTCTCAGCCACTGGACACAGGACCCACGAGACACGGTCTGAGCACAGCGTATCCTCTGCAGCTGGACTGGCCCTGGCTCATCTCGGGTGTGTTTGGAGGGAGCGGGAGGGGAGGGGAGGAAAGGAGGTTTTGAACAGCAATGGTGTGCCGCCTGGAACGCCATGGAACCACGAGCAGGTCATTCCTGCTGAGGGACCTGCAACGCTTCACAAACGCACAGAGTTACAGACATGTAGCCAGCAGCCATCCTGGGACTGTGACAGGAGGGGCCCTTTGGGTCTCTCCTCCCCCACCCCCGGAGCAAGCAGCAGACTGTCCACTATGGGTTCCCACAGCATCACACCCCAAGGGAGGCCAGGCCCCTGGGGAGCCTGGGAGCCCCGTCAGCCTCCCTGAAGCCGATGCCGGACAGGAACCAGCCCCCGGCGTTCACGTTGTTTTTCTGGGAGAAGAGTGTTCTCAGCCCAGTGCCCCTTGGAGGCTGCCTGCTGGTGAGTGAGCGGGGCTGAAGTCTGCAGGCCCAGGACGGGCTCACCCTTGGCAAGTGGCCGCTGGGCTGGACCGAGGACAGCGGCTGCCGCACAGCAAACGCCAGCCCCGTGTCAGGTGGCGTTAAGGCGACCCCACAACCCCGGCCCATTTCACAGATCGGGAAACTGAGCTCTAGGGAGACCAAGGCACCTCACCTCGACAGCCCCACTAAGCAGCAGAGCTGGGTCTGGATCCCAGTCCCCGCCCACACTGTCTGCCCGCACCTCGGTCACTTCTGCTGCAGACCTGCTCCTCTGGGGCGCCCCGCAGGGTCCGAGGTGTGTGCCCGGCATGGGTGCGGGCCAGGGCCAGGGGCCTGGGGAGGGTGCAGGAGCCCCAGGTGGGCTCGGCCAGCTTCTCCTCGGGCTGGAGTAGCCATCCTTAAAGTGTTTGATGTTCTCACCTTGGCTTCCGGTCAAGCAGGACTGATGCAATCAAAGACCTGTGAGTGAATCCAGTCCCTGCCCCACCCATCCGTCCCCAGCCCCTCCCTGCCCCCCACGAGGACAGGGAGGACCAAGGAAGGGGTGGAGGTGAGAAGGCGCCCAAGAAACTTCAGCTGGAGGGCGGCCTCTCGCCTCTGCACAGTCATTTCTGTTCAGCCCAGCAGAGCGGTCCCTGGGCTGTGGGACAGCAGTGACCGGACGGGAGGGGCGGGAGGATGGAGACAGGGGAGCTGAGCCTCCTGCTCCATCTGAGGGACAGGCCTGGCCGTAAGCACCTCCGAGACTGCCCTGGGGGACAGCGGGGTTCCTCTGAATGCGACAGCCTCCGCAGGACACCCATCACTCCTTCCTGACTGTTCAGGAAGGGGGTGTGCGCGTGGGTGAGGCTCCATGCTCCCTGGGAACTGCCACCCCGGGCAGCAGGGCCCTGGTCCATCTGCCCATCTGAACAGCAGAGGCTAAGAAGGCTGTCACTGGAGGGCAGGGATATTCGCCCCGGCCCCATCTGACCACCTGGGGAGGTGGGGGGGAACCTTACGGGTCCTGCATGAAGCCCTGGGCTCACTCGACGCCTCAGTCCCCTCCCTGTGACCTCCAGGTGGGGCATGGGTGCTGCTTCTGTGATGCCTTCTCCCCACAGCCCTTCTGCAAACACCCACCGGGATCCTGGGGCAGAGAGTTTTATTCGGAGTGTCCACAAGGCGGGCCGGGGCCCGGGCACAGGAGGGACAGGGAGGAGGCCGGGCAGAGGGGTGGGGGATCCCCATCCTCAGAGCTTTTTCCAGGACTCTCAGTCTCCACGAGAGATTCCTCAGCCTTGTGGTCACTGGTAAGGAACTTTGTGAATTTTTCAAGTTCATGTTCGAGGGAGTGCATCATTTCATTAAGCATTTGTCCGCGTCCAGCCACGGGCAGCCTGAGCCCTGCCGCGGGGTGCTTGGTGCGTGCCGACCGACCTCGGGCACGGAGGCTCGGGTGCAGAGCTGCCCACACAGGCATTTGGGCAGAGATCACCCATCCCGCGCGAACTTCTCCAGGGTCTGGTGTAACGGCCTCTCACGGCGTCCCCGCCTCTCCAACTTTCCCCAAAATATCAGAGCGGTTTCAGAACCTGCCCCTGCCATTCCCGAGCCGGCCCGACTTCCTCCAGCCGAGCGGCTGGTGCGTAAACAGCAGCTCTCAGGCCCGGCTTCGGTGGGTAATTCCAGGAGCTGCGATGACCCGGGGCTCCGTGCCTGGCCTGCCGCCCCTGTCATCTGCCCACGGGCCCCTTTCTGAGGCCACGCGCCTGTGTGCACGCGTCCGAAAGCCCCGGGAGGGCGGGCCAGCCGGTGGTTATTCCTTCGTGTGCGACGCAAACATCCTGACCCGGGACTGAGCTGCACAGAACCAGCTTTTGGTTATTCCTTCGTGTGCGACACAAACATCCTGACCCGGGATCAGGCAGAACCAGCTTTTGACATCCGTGTCCCAACACGGGTGAGGAACAGCCCCTACAAGAGGCAGGCCCAGTACCGTCAGGGTCCGTGTGGGCATCTTCATTTCCCAGGACAGAGCGGGCAGTGCCTGCCGAGTGGACAAAGACCCAGATGGGCCCTTGGTCACTGGGCCTGGGAGGGACATTCGTAGATGAGCTGATTGATCCTAAGCCAGGGCCCACCGTGGGGCCACAGAACCGGGAAGGGGCAGCACCAGGAGGGTCCGCCTCGGCCCACCGAGGGATAGAGGCTGGCTGGGCACAGGGAACAGCATGGCTGCGGTGGCTGCGATGGACCAGCCGGCCGCCCGATCCCTGTTTCCCTTCAGACTGAGGAGAAACCACAGACGCTGGCTCGGGGCCACCGGGGGCCGAGTTTACAGTAATTGTGGGTTGTTGGCCTGGTAGCAAGGCCCAGTGGGGATCTCTCCAGGGGACCGGGCGAGGGGAGAAGGCACGGGTGTGGGCCTCATGGCCTCTGCCTCCGGTGGGCTCCACCCTGGAGGGCAGGGGGCCCATGCCAGGACTCCGGGGTGTCTTCTCAGTAGCAGTGGAGGCAAAGTGTCCAGTCTGTGCTGCCCGTCTTCCTGTTGCCCCAGCAAACGCGGCCGTTCAGATCCAGCACCTTGGCTGATTCTCCTGCACAGCCCACTGCCCCAGGGTCAGGGTGGGGGGCGGCTGGGTGGTGATGCAGGCAGAGACCCCCAGGCCCCTCCTGCATGGACCACTGGGCGCCGGAAACTCAGGTCAGCCGAAGGGCCTCTGCACCAGCGTGGCCCACCGTGCTGCCCGGGTCCCAGGGACACCCAGCTGCTCGCTCAGCCCCAGCCAGGCCTCACTTCCCAGACGGCGCCGTCTCGGGCAAGGGGTCCTCCTTCCCTTCCTCCTCCACGGAGAACATGACGTCCGAGCAGCTGCCCAGCGGTGGCTCCGTCTCTTGCTCCGGGTAGTGCGGGGCATGGTCCGCCTCCAGATCCTCCACGATCTCCGGCTCCACCGGCTCCACCGGCCCCGCCGGCCCCGCCGGCCCCACCAGGCCCCGGCCCTCGGGCGCCTCCGTCTTCACGGTCCCCACGATCACGGTGTCGGCCTTCATGATGTAGATTTTCTCTGCGGAGCAGAAGGAGAGGCGCGGTGAGAGCCCAGAGCGCAGAGGGTGAGGAGGAGGCGGAGGAGAGTCCCGGGCCAGCTCGGCCACCCCCGCTGCGTGGCTCAGGCGGGCGGCACAGCCACTCTGGGGCGCAGTGAGCCCCGCCAGCCTGACAGCTGGCAACCATGTGCCGAGGAGTGAGCCAAGGTGTGAGCCGCTGGCCCATTTGCTCCCTACGGGCAATGCCTGTGATTTTTCTCAGCATTCTGCCTGGATGAGATGGGGGGGAGGAGGGAACGAGATAAGGAAAGACAGCGAGGCATGGGGAGGAAGCAAGGAAAACCAATCACCTTGGCTCCTGCCGATATCCCCTGGAGTGGAGAAATAAGACTAAAATAATAGCCGAAACCTGTTTGGCTCAGTGGATAGAGCATCAGCCTGTGGACTGAAAGGTCCTGGGTTCGATTCTGGTCAAGGGCATGTAGCTTGGTTGCAGGCACATCCCCAATGGGGGGTGTGCAGGAGGCAGCTGATTGATGATTCTCTTTCATTGATGTTTCTAACTCTCTATCCCTCCCTCTTCCTCTCTGTAAAAAAGTCAATATAATATATATTTTTATATATTTTTTAAAAAGACTAAAATAATAATAACAGCGCCAAGGAACGCGAGGAGAGGTTTGCCTTCCACACCTGAGCTCCTGCAGCCTCACGTCCCTCCCGCCAGGCGCAGCCTGTTCTGATCCCAGTCACAGGGAAAGGCCTGGAGCCCAGGGAGGTTCAGTGACCTGCCCGAGGTCACCGGGTACTTAGCACAAACCCCAAAGCAACTCCTGCCCCGCTGCCCTTTCCATGGGCCCAAAGCAGAAACCAGCGGGGCCCGGTTTGCCCCGGATGCTCTGGAGTTCGCCGGGCAAGGTCAACCCAGCAAAGCAGGCAGCTGTCATCCCCCAGAACCCTCAGCGGCGAGTAACTCAGCAGCCTGAGGTTCGGGCAGCTCTGGGAGGGGCGGGATATTTCAGTGGGGAGCGCTCATCTCTCTCCCCCTCCCACTTTCCAGGCCTCATGGCTGTGCCTGCCTAGCACACAGTAGGACTGCATATGTATGCCAGTTGGATGAAAGACCTGCCCAGCCATGAGAGGTGTGATTCCCCTGGACCCTCAACACCATTTCCTTCCTTTAGGGACTCCGGAGGCAGGCTCGGGGGAGTAAAGGAAGCTGCCAACGACACTGGGAAGTGGAGAGCCCGGCCCGCAGCCAGGTCAGCTGACTTCAAGCACCGGCTCGGCTTCTTTCAGTGTCTCAGGCTCAGGACAGGCTCCCAGCTCCCAGCTGCTCGGCCCTGGGTTCTGGAGGCTGAATGGGGAAGCCCGGGAGGGAACTTAAGAGCTGGGGTGGGGTAGGGAGCTCGGGATCCCTGCTTCTTTGGGTAACCAGTTACACCCCTCTGACTCAGGAACCTCCAAAATATTCTTGGGGCCCCTGTGCCCTCAATTCCATTACCTAATGCCGGAGCTTCTGTTTTGGTTATAACACCCCCAGGAAAGAGAGAAGTGTTCAAAATAGCAGCAGGAACTAAAGAGAAGGAAGAGAGAGAGAGGGAAGCTGTGGGCTGGGACCCCCTACACCCCAAGAGGCCTCAAGCCTCAGCCACACACACCTTCACCAAGACCTGCAGGCCCCTTGCTCCGGGAGGGGAGAGAAGGAGGGCACAGAGGGGACCAGGCAGGACTAGAGGAGTCAGAGACAAGAGACAGAGACAGAGACGGACAGAGAGAGGAGCAGGGGTGGGCTGTCCAGCCTGAAGAGACCAAAGTTGGGGGCCAGACTATCATTCCCCTCACATTCCTGGGTCCCGAGTCCTCTGGCTTGGACCCCATCACAGAGCTGCCCAGCCCCCAGTCTGCAGGGGGAGCATCTTCCAGAAGCTCCTGGAATTCCTGACTCACCCAGGGTTCCAGAATCCAGGGAAGCTGTCTCAGTGGGGTGGGGGTGGGGGGAAGGTGAGGGGAAAGGGCTGCCTGCCTGGTGCTATGGTCAGGGGGAGTGATGAGCTCAGCAAGAGTTTGGTCCCTTGGGAATGGAACAAGGAGGTGCCCCTCGGAGGTAGCATCAGAGGGACATGGGGCTTCCCGTCCCTTGGGTATCCCCAGAAAGCCTCCAAGGCTTTCCCTCCCACCACCCCACGCCCAGCAGGCCTGCAGGCTGGCTTGGCTCTGGGCAGGCTGCCCATACCACTGCCCACGCCACTGCCCACACTCCAGCCGCCCTGGCAGTCCGGTACCTGCCTCCGCCACCCCGTCCAACACTCAGACCCACCCTCGCAGTTCCAGGCACTGCACTTAGCACAGGCTCAAACTCCAAATTAGGGCTTCTTTGGAAATTGGAAGGAGGTGCCTCTGGCAATATTTCCCAAAACTCATTTAAAAAAAATAAAAAGCCAAATCAACAAACGACAAGTGTTGGCGAGGTTGTGGAGAAAAAGGAACCCTCGTGCACTGCTGGTGGGAATGCAGACTGGTGCAACCACTGTGGAGAACAGTGTGGAGTTTCCTCAAAAAACTGAAAATGGAACTCCCATTTGACCCAGTAATCCCACTCCTAAGAATATATCCCAAGAAACTAGAAACACCAATCAGAAAGGATATATGCACCCCTATGTTCATAGCAGCACAATCTACAATAGCCAGAATTTGGAAACAACCTAGGTGCCCGTCAGCAGATGATTGGATCAAAAAACTATAGTACATTTACACAATGGAATACTATGCTGTCATAAAAAAGAAGGAATTCTCATCATTTGCAGCAACCTGGATGGAATTGGAGAGCATCATGCTGAGTGAAATAAGCCAATCAATGAAAGAGAAATACCACATGACCTCACTCATTTATGGATAATAAAGAACATTATAAACTGATGAACCAAAAGATAGATATAGAGACAGTAAAGCAACAAGCAGACTGTCAAATTACAGTGGGGAGGGGAGGGAGATCTGGGGGAGATAACTGATCAACCGAAGGACTTGTATACATGCATATAAGTACAACCAATGGACATAAAACTCTGGGGAAGGAGGGTATACATTGGAGGGAGGAAGGGGGGCAAAAAATAAAAATAAATAAATAAATAAATAAATAGCCAAAAGCTGCAGCTCCCAACATTTCCATTTGATACAAAGACTCTGCCCTAAAGAGTTCTATCCAGCCCTGACCGGTGTGGCACAGTGGATAGAGCATCCACCTGTGGACTGAAAGGTCCCAGGTTCGATTCCAGTCAAGGGCATGTATGTTGATTGTGGGCACATCCTTGGTAGGAGACATGCAGGAAGCACCTGATCGGTTTCTAATTCTCTATCCCTCTCTCTTCCTCTCCATAAAAATCAATAAAATATATATACTTTTTTTAAAAAAAGTTCTGTCCACCATGCCTGCCATAGAAATGTGTGCTATGACTGCAAATGCCTCTTTGGTGTCATCCGAGTGGTGGTTAACCCCCCAGAGAGGACAGGGAGGGGGCTCACTGAGGCCCAGGCCCTGGGGGCTCTGAGGCAGGTGAGGGGCAGGAGAAGGCCACAGACACAGCCACACTGCCCCACACTGCCCAAGACTGAGGACACTGGGTGGGAGGCCTGGCGTCTGGGGGAGCAAAGCAGAAGCGCATCTGGCCTAGACAGGAGAGCGGGAAGAGCTTCCTGGAGGAGAAGGCAATAAACAGGGTCTTCCAGTGGGGGGCGCTGGCTGTCCCAGGCGAGGAGACAGCTCCCGCAGAGAAGCTTAGAAGTGAGCAAGGGCTCGGTAAGCTTAGGAAGCTGCCGTTGAGCCGGAGGGGGTGGTATTGGAGCCAGAGGGCACCTGTCTTTGGGGAAGTGCCAGCCGCGGTGCCCGCACGGCCACGGGACTGGCAGTGCAGACAGACCGGCGGTTTCGGACAGGCCGCAGCCTGTCTCTCCCTAGCCGTGCGCCCAGAAAAACAGCGTCACCCCCGCCCCGGCCACAGTTTCCCCGATTGCGAAAGGGGAAGGCATCACCTCAGAGGCGAGTGATGGTGAGTTGGCCCCTACCCGGTGCCCGGAATGCTCAGGCCCTGGCAGCTCCTACGTCACCGTATGTCTTCCCGATGCCCCTTTAGCAATAGAAGGCACCAGGCACCCCTTCCCTCCACCCATCCCACAAGACACCACCACAATATTATTTCAGGAACCCTCCCCCCGGCCCCAAGAAGTCAGGACCCCCACCGCTGTCTCCCAAGCACATCTAACACTCTCACCAAAAGCACCTCCCAGCCCTGACCGGTGTGGCTCAGTGGATAGAGCGTCGGCCTGCGGACTCAAGGGTCCCGGGTTCAATTCCGGTCAAGGGCATGTGCCTTGGTTGTGGGCACACCCCCAGTGGGGGAGGGGGGGAGGGTGTAGGAGGCAGCTGATAGATGTTTCTCTCTCATCGATGATTCTAACTCTCTATCCCTCTCCCCTCCTCTCTATAAAAAAATCAATGAAATATATTTCAAAAAACAAAAGAACAAAAAACACCTCCCACTCATAAGGCCGAGGGAGAGTCCACGCCTCTTCCTTGCGGGGCTTCCTGGGTCTCCCGTTCCAGGTGGGGGCCCGGGGCCCAGCACCCCGCTGCCCTCTTCGCCCTGACCACGCCAGGGACCCCCACGCCAGCCGACTCACCAATCCTGTTGTTGGTATGCTCCGTGGTGACCCGGGGCTCAGGAAGGTCCCTGGGGGACGAGGGGGTCCCGGCTGGACTGGCCCCCACCAGCGGCAGGCTCTCCAGGCCGGCGGCCCCCACGTGGGTGCAGGACTCCACAGCCGGGGGGCTGGTGAACCCCAACCTCTCTGTGTGGGGCTCCGTCACCAACAGGCTCCTCAGCTCCTGTGGGCACAGAGGCGGTAGTGCTGAGACAGGGTGCCCTCCCCTCGCCGCCCGTCCCCGGACTGCGAAGCCCCGTTTCTTCATCTCTGTTCGCCCCAGCCAGTCCCCCTTCCTGCTTTGGCCGCCACCCGCCACTGGGCTTCCCAGCCCCGACGGCCTGGTGCACCTGCCCAGGGAGTTCGGGAGAAGCGTGCTGCTTTTAGCATGTACTACACAGTAAGGACCGTGGCCCACATCACACGTGTGTACCCCGTGACACATGTTAATCCCCACAGCCAGCCTAGGAGGTGACTGACATTAGCACTCTCTCCATTTTACAGATCAGGAGACCGAGGCACAGAGTCACGGGACTTGCTCAGGGCTAGTAAGTGTCCGGGCCGGTACTTGAACCCTGGCATCCGGCACCGGGATCCATGCGGAAAGGCCGGTCTATACACCTTGGCTCCAGGCCTGTCCTCCTGCCCAGCCCTGACCCCCTGGGACAGCGGCCGGTTCTGACGACACTGATGTATTCTGAAAAGGGCTACGTCTTCAGGAAAGTGTTGGCTAGTGTTTGATTTTGATAGGTAAGTGCAAAGGAGAAGCGGTCTCGTGGAATGTTCTAGGCCAGTGGTCGGCAAACTCATTCATCAACAGAGCCAAATATCCACAGGACAACGATTGAAATTTCTTTGGAGAGCCACATTTTAAACTTAAACTTCTTCTAATGCCACTTCTTCAAAATAGACTCGCCCAGGCCGTGGTATTTTGTGGAAAAGCCACACCCAAGGGGCCAAAGAGCCAACCATGGTTCTAGGCCATAGCATTTGCCTGCTGCCTTCAGGGTGGAATGAGTTTGAGTAATTCAGAAAGTATAGCTACATAATCCTGAAAATTTCTTCCTAACTATTAGAAGTCCAAAAGATAGCATTTTTAAACAATTTACTATTAAGGTTTTAGCAAAGATATTTGATTCTCTTACAAATCACCAAATATCTTTTTCATAAATGACTCGGTGTTACAGCAGCGACTTGTCTGACCCAAGTATATTTGAATGTGATCTCCCATAATTTTAAATTGAACTCATATTGAAAACCATATTGTGAGCCGGGACTGGTTTGGCTCAATGGATAGAGCGTTGGCTTGGGGACTGAAAGGTCCCGGGTTTGATTCCGGTCAAGGGCATGTACCTTGGTTGCGGGCATATCCCCAGTAGGGGGTGTGCAAGAGGCAGCTGATCGATGACTCTCTCTCATCGATGTTTCTATAATAACTCTCTCTCCCTTCCTCTCTGTACAAAATCAATAAAATATATATAAAAATAAAAAATAAAAATAAAGAAAACCATATTGTGGCTCTGCCTATTATGCTTAAAAATTAAAGGATGGAGCCCAGCTGGCATGGCTCAGTGGTTAAGTGTCAACCTATGAACCAGGAGATCACAATTCAATTCCCGATCAGGGCTCCATCCCCGGTAGGGAGTGTGTGGAGGCAGCCAATCAATGATTCTCTCTTATTATTAATATTTCTCTCTCTCCCCCTCCCTTCCTCTATCTGAAATCAATAAGAATATATTTTAAAAAGCTAAAAGGTGAAAACCTTTCTCCATGTATAAATGGGTTTTATTGTGGATCATTTTTATTTTTATTTTTTGCTTTTTAAGACTTTATTTCAACCTAACTGTGCTTAGAGAAATATACTCACATTGGTTAACAGAATGCAATTTAAGTTTAACTTATTCTACATGATTTGGACCAAAAACTTGGAACATGGTTTGAGCATGAAAGAGAGAGAGAGAGAGAGAGAGAGAGAGAGAGAGAGAGAGATCTTCAACTATTACAAGTGTATGTAAAGGATCCTCCATCAAACACCACTAAAGCAGGCAGCAAGAACCCTGAGAAATTAACCTTTGGTTGGTCTCTGAACAATAACACGTATTGCACAAGTTTATAAAACTGGTGCAACAAAACAGTGTTGTAATATGTCAAAGCCAGTTTGCAAAGCTTGGTAGCGAACGGGTGCTGAGAAGGGTGAGGGAGCCGTGTACATGCGAAAGCCGTGCCATTGAGCTGGTGTTCCATGGAGACGGCAGACATCCCGTGGATCAGTGTCTGAGTTAAAGGAAAGGCATGAAAGGTGTGATAATGAGGGGAATGAGGTGCGTGAACATACACGCCTGAGACCCGGCCATATGGAGAGCTTGGCCCTGCCCCTCCCTCAGCTCCCACCGTGGGAGCTGCCAATGGGGGGTGAGGGGGCTGGGCACAGAGCAGGACGCAAGGACAAGCCCAGTGAGGACCAGTGGCTGGGCCCTGTGCTGGGTGATCAGCAGTCACATCTGCAGGACCCTCACCCTGCGCCTGCGCACCGCCAGCACTCCCTCCCTACACGGGGCAGATGAAGCTGGTCTCCGAGGAGGCAGCCAGGGCAGCGGGTCAGAGCTCTGGCGTTAAGAGTCAAAAACAGGGGCTCAGCTGAAACCGGTTTGGCTCAATGGATAGAGCGTCGGCTTGGGGACTGAAAGGTCCCGGGTTGGATTCCGGTCAAGGGCATGTACCTTGGTTGCGGGCATATCCCCAGTAGGGGGTGTGCAAGAGGCAGCTGATCGATGACTCTCTCTCATCAATGTTTCTAATTCTCTATCTCTCTCCCTTCCTCTCTGTACAAAATCAATAAAATATATTAAAAAAAAAAAAAAAAAAAAAAAAACAGGGGCTCAAACCCTAGCAGGTCTGCTCCCCGCTGTGGGGCCACCCTCCCAGCAGTGCCTCAGTTTCCTCTTTTATACAGCGGGACCGCAGGCCGGCCTCCGCGTGCCATGAGGACCACCTGAGCGGATGCTGAGAGCGCACAGAGCGAGGAGCTGCTCCAGGTAACCGCTCAGTGGGTGACAGCCACATTCCTAAAATCCTTGCTGCTGATCTGTCACCCCAGTGCAAGCACAGGACTGGTGGAGAAGGAAGGAGAAAAGGGGAAGCAAGCCCAGGCTTCCTTGTGACCGGAACACACCTGGCACCCAAAGGAGCCCAAGCCAAGCCCGCGGTCTGGCAGGCCTTTCTGGAAGTCCCCGGCGAGAGGAGCCAGGAGCCAGGAGCCAGGAGCCAGGCCACTGCGGGGGAGGGGGACAGCATCCTGGGCCAGGGCGTGGCTCAGAGCTCTCTGCTCCCTCCATGTCCTCTCCTCCCCCCCAGACCCAGCAGGAGCTGGCAGGGACCAGGCGGCTCTTGGCAGCAACAGGTCTGCCCAGGAGCTAGACTCAGGGGCACCACGCTGGGACACGGGACGGCTACTTACTGGCTGGTTCCTCGGGGGCCTGGCATCTGTGAAGAGAAAAGGAGGGACAGCTTCACCAAGGAGGGCCTGACAGCCCTGGCCCCACCGTGGACAGGGGCCTCAGCTGGCTCCCCAGGGGGAGCAGATGCTCCCGTGGGCCCTCTGTCTGGAGAGCAGAGGGCAGGTTTCAGGGTTCATGCCTACTCCCAGGCCGGGCCACACGGGCTCACTCCCCAGTGCTCACTTCTCCAGCGCTGTCAGAGAGCAGGGGACTCCTCTCCCCTCTGCCCCTGGACCCCTCCCTAGTCCACCGACCCCCCCCCCACACACACACACACACATACAGGGGAGGCGTGCGCTCGGCTGGAGCCAAGGAGGCTCCCACTGACTCAGAAATCACCACCGCCTCACTGCCCCGGGGTCATGGAGAGCCCAGAGCAGGAGACAGAGGGGATGGCTCCTGAGTCCTGTGCCAGGCGAGCTGAAGCCAGCTGATCCTGGAGCCCTTCCGGCGAGTTGGATGTTCTGTGGCCTGTTTTTAAAAGCCCACGTGACCGCCTTCGAGGAGGACAGCTCTCACCAGTCCTCCCCCTCCTGCAAGCAGCCCCTCGGTGGGCTCAGGAGGTGCTGACGCCATGATTCTTAGGGCACGACCTTTACCCTCTCCTCCTATCCCCTCTCCTCCACTCCAACTGTTTTCTCACACTGAGTCGGGTGCCAGGTCTCGGCCAAGTGTAAGTGGGCATTTAACCGTGGCCCGGGCAGCTGGTCTATCCTACAGCACACCGGCTCCCCGGCCGACCACGCTGCAGGGACGCACAGCCTTTTCGGAATCCAGGGGCCGCCTGCGGAGACTCGGGATCCATTGCTGTTAGTGTGCACACCCGACCAGAGAAATCAGCTGAGTCACTTCCAGAACCTTCCTGGATGCCAGCAGCTCTGGGCCACCCCTGGCCCCGCATCCCAGCTGGAAACTCACGGGAGGGCCCCCGACCACGGTAACAAGTAAGAGGCGCCGGCTGAGCCGTGTGGCCACACGATGCCAATCACCGGGCAGAAAGAGCCCGGCGGGGAAACAGGCCAGAACGGCCATGCAAAGCAGCACACGTGCACAGGGACCCAGTCCTTGGCCCTGGATTTAACACACGTGTCGCACTCACTGCCTCTGGTACCTGCTGCCCCCAGCAGAGCGGTCACTCCCGCCAGGCGGCCACTGCCCGCTGTCCAAGCCAGCCTGGGCGCCCTCTCTGGCCGGACGGACATTCTTTTAAATGACGTCAGTGGCGCTGAACCGCCCTCCTTGGAGAGGGATTCTGAGTCTTGCAACCAGCCAACTGGGCTCGGTGACAAGTCACTGGGGGAGGGTGTTGACACAGTAACAAGACAAAATAAATAAAAACGATAAAACTCAGTCTTGGAGGGGCCGTGGGTAAACACGTCCTGTGAACGTTTCCGGTGACTGTTTCTTGAGGGCCAGCTGGCCATGGGAGTCTCACACCCTTTGCCCCAGTAACCCCTCCCCAGGGCACACCCTCAGGAAATAACCGGGAAGATGACGAGGCTGTGCACAGCCTGGTGTTTGAAAGAACCGGCCGCTGGGAGCGAGCCAGGTGCCACGGTCCTGGCAGAGAGACCCAGCACAGGAGGCCACCTCGCCCGGCCTCTGTCTCAGCTACAAAGTGGGATGGCTCGCACCCACTTTGGAGGGTTTTTATGAAGATTAAAGGAGATCTCGGAAGTGAAGGGGCCCGTGACCGATCAGGCTGTGAGGATGCCCCCTGGATCTGATGCCCCTGGTCCGTCCTCACCCCTAAGCCTATAACCCCAATCAAATCCGGACAGAAGCGCTTGGCAGGTTCCCATAGAAGGGCCTCCTACAACACAACTGAGTGGTCCCCCTCACACCTGCCAAGGTCATCGGAAACGACGGAGGTCAGAAATGTCACAGCCCCGAGGAGCCTGAGGACACCTGACGACTCAGCATCACATGGTGTCCTAGGTGGGCTCCCGGATCTGCCTGGCCGGCGTGGCGCCGTGGTTGAGCGTCGACCTATGAACCAGGAGGTCACGTGGTTCAATTGCCGGTCAGGGCATATGCCTGGGTTTTGGGCACAATCTCCAGTGAGGGGAGTGCCGGATGGAGCTGATCAATGATTCTCTCTCATCATTGATGTTTCTATCTCTCTCTCCCTCTCCCTCCCTCTCTGAAATCAACAAAAATACATTTAAAAAATAAAATTTTAAAAATAAAGGTGATATGAATAGAGGATGGGCTTTACTTAACAGCCCTATTCCTTTTCTTTCTTTCTTTCTTTTTTTTAAAATACAGTTTATTGCTTTTTTACAGAGAGGAAGGGAGAGGGATAGAGAGTTAAAAACATCGATGAGAGAGAAACATCAATCAGTTGCCTCCTGCACACCCCCTACTGGGGATGTGCCCGCAACCAAGGTACATGCCCTTGACCGGAATCAAACATGGGATCTTTCAGTCTGCAGGCCGACGCTCTATCCACTGAGCCAAACCAGTCAAGGCAACAGCCCTGTTTCGATGTTGCTTGTTCACTGTGACGAATGAATACCTCTGATGTAAGATGTTAATGACAGGTGGAGGTATGTGGAGACTCTTTTTATCGTCTCAGACTCTCTGTAAATCTGCTCTAAAGAATAACGTCTTCTTAAAATGTGTTGGCATTCAAAAGGGGAGGAGCTCAGGTCACCGCCTGGCATGCAGCGGCCCCGGATGCTGGCACTCTATCGCAGCAGAAACTCAACATCTGACTCGGAGTCTGAGCAGAAGCACAAAAGGCAGAATCCGGCAGGTGCCAACAATGGCTCCCGCCTGGCACAGCCCACGTGCATACTCTGATAAAGACTCAGAACAAACTGTGCCAAGCACAGAGGTCGGATTTCATCAGAGCTTTTCCCCTAAAAACGTGGCTTCGGTCCACGGTTTTCAATTATTGGTTTCACTGCTTTTGGAATGACTGCGGTCTTCCCGTAACCGCGTCCGGCACCCCAGGACGTGGGTCCAGGGACACGGCATCGGTGGCCCCACTGTGACAGTGCCCGATGTCCGGGGCTGCCCCGTGGCCACCTCGCTGAGCCCTGCGTTCTGACTCCCAAGTCACCGTCCCTTCCCTCCTCCTTGCTCTCCCTTTCAGGCCCATCCCCTCTCGGCCTGAGGTCCCAGCTGCTGTGGGAGCAGAGCAGACCCAAGGAAAGCGTTTGGCCCAGAGGTTCGGCCGACTCCAACCCTGGGCTCCCTGGAGAGCTGGCAGAGTCCAGGGCAGGGCAGGGAAGTACAAGCTACACTGGGAAACCCTTTAAGAAGTGCCCCCGACCTAAACGGTATGGTTCAGTGGATAGAGCGTCGGCCTGTGGACTCAAGGGTCCCAGGTTCGATTCCAGTCAAGGGCATGTACCTTGGTTGCAGGCACATCTCCAGTGGGGGCCGTGCAGGAGGCAGCTGATGGATATTTCTCTCTCATGGATGTTTCTAACTCTCTATCCCTCTCTCTTCCTCTCTGTAAAAAAATAAATAACATATATGTTTTTTTAAAAAAAGAAGTGCTCCCCACGCCAAAGGATGGGAACAAAAGGGAACAGGAGCCAGCTGGAAGTGGCCCCTTTGGCCTAACCAGGGACCATTGGAACCTCACACTGAATGCCAACGGCAGCAGAATAAACCAGGAATGCACACGCCGGACAAAAGCCCGTGAATGAAGCAGAGGAAGAGTCTGACAGAGGAGCAGGTCATTCACAGCCTCCAAGGAGCGCCCCTCGAAGCCTGAGCCGTTTGTTACCACGGAGAAGAGAGCAGCTTCCAGTGGGGGAGCCTGGCAGACAGCACCCTGGTCCTCTGACCAAGGCCTCAGTGTGACCCACCAGCAACGGGACCAGCGGAGCCGGGAGGACGGGGCTGCCAAGAAGCGCTCAGTGTCGCTCCTGGGTTCTTCCCACCAAATCCAGTCACCGGGAAACCTCAGGCCACGCCGAGGTCAGGGACGCCTACACAACCACGATGGGACCCTCCCCAGCGGCCAGGCCAGGAAGGTGAAGGGCGAGACAGGCACTGACCAGAGTCGCCGGGACAGACAGTCAAACGCAGCCCTAGATTCTGGACGGAATTCTCTGGTCACAGCGGGCTTTACCGGGGGCAATGGGACACCTGAATGGGGTCTGAGAACTCAAGGTAACACGTCAGGGCAGATCCTCTGGTGTAAACGGTTTTACTCCAGTTGTGTAAAAACACGTCTTATTCCTATGAAATACACGCACGCACACACACACACACACACACACACACACACACACACACACGTCAGAGATGACAGGCATTATGCCGGTGACTTAGATGGTCCAGGGAAAGGGAGTTCTGGGTACTGTTCTTGTGACTTTCCCGTGAGGTCGAAATTATTTCCGAACGATGGCGCGCAATTTTTTCCAAAGCACGCCTGCCTGCCCCCGTGAACTGAGAAAGCAATGACTTCCGTGGCCATCAAAACAAAGGGTTAAACAGATTTTAACCGCGTTTCCCAGCCAGGAGTGATCTCCCCTTCTCCCTCCCCACCCCTCCCCCCGCCCCCCCCTGCCAGCCCGGGGGACCCCTGGCAATGTCTGGTGACATGTTTGGTGGCCACACGGGGAGGTGGGTCTGGAGACTAAGGAGCTGGCCAGCACCCTGCAAAGCACAGGAGAGCCCAGTCCCCAGTGTCACTAGCTGAGGGGTGAGACCCTTTTGACAAAAGCCTTGCCACCAACAGAGACAACGAGACCCCGGTCAGGCTGCTTTTAGCCACTCGGCCTCACACAAGTCCCCTCCTTCCTGTGCCCCGTCCCTCCTCGGTGAAATGGGGTAACAGCGGTGGCTGCCTCGCAGGGATGCTCAGAGGGGTCAAATGAGATCATGTATGTGCTTCGCAAACGCCTGCCGCCAAGGACCCCCGGCACAAAGTCCAATCCATTCAAGAGCTGATGGGGGAGCACTGACTGGGCACCTGCCCGGATCCCCTATGTGCTCCGCCAGGCACCAGACACCCTCCCCCCCCAGCCCTGTGGATCCCAGAGGGGGCGGGCTGGGCGTACACTCCCTGCCTGCTAGCCTTTCGCCCGTTGGAGCAGCGGACACAGGTCTCAGAGCCCAGGAGAGCCAGGGCAGCCTCTGTGCCCCGCACAGAGCCACTCAAAACCCCGCAATGACACGACTTGGGGTACAGGAGGGAGTGAAGAAATTGAACGGGCATCGCCTGCTCCGTCCGTGCTCATCCTGTGACCTGCCTGCTGACCCTGGCCTCCTCCCCCTTCCCTCTCAGCCTGGGGACCCCCAGGCACCCACCAGAAGCCAGAGGGCCGGCCCCGGCCACCGCTGAGGCTCAGGGCTCGGGGTTCCTTGCAGGCCTGGCTTCTTAAGGGAAGGTGATTTTCTCTCTCTCTCTGAGACAAAAACTGCTATCGCAAAGGTTCGAAGAAAAAAAAATAGACTGACGGCAATGGAAAGTCTAATACTAGAAAAATGTCAAGAAAGCAAACCCGGTTTCAGTGAGACACGGAGCCTGACAGCTCACGGAAAAAGGCTTGAAACCATCAAAACACGAAAACCCCTGCGGAGAGACCGCTAGCACCTGCTTGTGAAACTCATCAGATTCAAAACAACCTCCTGGACTGTTTTCGTGCCCGAGGGGCCACAGCAAGGCTCTCCAAGGGACCTGGGGAAGGGAGGAGGGGGGGCAAGGGAGCCGTGATTTGGCCTGGGGCCGACCACTGGGCTCTGGGTGGGCAGGGGGTGGACAGGGCTTGGGGGCGGGAGGCAGAGGGGATAGGACGGGGCCACGGGCAGGCTACAGCCCGAGCAGCAACCTCAAGTACCAGGGCCAGAGCCCGGAGGGGCGCTTACTAGGAGGGTGGCCCTGGGCCAGGTACCCGCCGCCTTATAGGTCATCAGCCATCACCCCCGGGGCTCCTGGGAGACCTGCTAGGGGAGGGAGCCTGCCCTGAAACCAGAAGAGACACTCAGACCACTCATGTTCACTGCTTCCTCTGTGGGCAGCGCCCAGCGCAGAGCGGGCAGACCTGCCCGCCTGAAAGGGCTGTCCAGGAGAGGGCCCTGGGCACAAGGCCCCCAGCAGGTGGGCGCTGGAAGAGCCTGCTGCTGGATTTGGGGGGAGGACTGGGCTCCAGAAGGCTGCCTGGAGGAGGTGGCCTGGAGGCGGGGCAGGGGTCAGAGACAGGACCAAGGAAGGGTTCCAAATAATCTAGCGCTGAGGGAGGCCTGGGATTCCTGGTGAGGAACACGGCCTGGGCACAGGTGGGTCAGCAGCCTGCAGTCACTGTTCACTGCACACAACGCCTGCCGGTGCTCTGCACAGGCCCAGCTCCGTCCATTCACCCATGCGCCCACCCTCGGACCAGGTCCCGCTGTCCCCATCTTACGGTGAGGGAAGTAAGACAGAGGAAGGAAGTAACCTCCCAAGGTGTCGCTTGTAAGTGGCAGAACCAGGATTCCAGCCCTCTCTGCCGACCCCTACGGCCCTCTCGGCTGCCAGAGGAGGGGACAGGGAAGAATGGGGAGAGAGGAGAGAATAGGGGGCTGGGAAAGAGGGAAAGAAGAGGGAGGGCAGTCAGGAATGCCTCTCCTGGGGGCACATGGGAGAAAGGAATGAAAAGCTCAGCAGGCCAACTGGCGTGGCTCAGTGGTTGAGCGTTGACCTAGGAACCAGGAGGTCACGGTTCAATTCCCGGTGAGGTCACAAGCCCAGGTTGCAGGCTCAATCTCCAGTGTGGGGCGTGCAGGAGGCAACCAATCAATGAGTTGCTTTCTTCATTGATGTTTCTATCTCCCTCTCTCTCCCTCTCCCTTCCTCTCTGAAATCAATAAAAATATTTTTTTTTAAAAAAAGAAAGAAAGCCTTAGCTGCATACAAAGAAAGCTTCCTGCCAGCCCGCTATTCAAGCACCTGGCAGGATGGGGCACAGTTCCCGCCACATTGTGTTCCCATCACAGATGAGGTCCCAGAGAGAGGAGCAGGCCCAGGCCCAGGCCCAGCCCCAGCCTGCCGTGTGTCCCTGCGGCTCAGGCAGCCCCTCCCGACCCCGACCACTTACCCGCAGGCTCGGGCTTGGGCCTGAAGGTCTGGACCGGGTAGCACAGGTGCAGCTCTGGAATGACATCAGGAGGGTACTGGAGATGCCAGCCTCGGAGAGCCTCGGCGGGCAGAGCAGGGCAGGGGCAGGGCAGGGCAGGGGCCAGGCTAGCACAGCGCGCCCGCCTCCCCCGGCCCCCCGGACACATCACTCACTCTGCTGCATCCACTTCCAGCAGGCTCTGCGGTGGCACAGGAGGAAGGAGCCGGCAATGACCACCCCTGCCAGCAGCGCCAGCAGCCAGAGGAGCATGGGTCCTGCAACACGGAGGTGGACTGCACTGTCTGCCCGGAGCCCGCTTCCCGGTGCTGAGCCAGGGGCCCTGCTGCCCCCCACTCCCACCCCCCGTCCCCAGCCCTACTGTCTCCACCGGGCTGCCAGCACTGAAGCCAAACATGGACCTGGTCCAGCCTCACCCGCCTGCCTGCCCTCACCGCTCCGGGAAGCCGGTCAGGGCGGGTTGATAGTGGGGGAAAGAGCACACCATTTCTAGAGGGTGGGCAATCGAGAAGCCAGGGAGTTGGAAGGCAGAACAAGAGGACAAAGCAAGGGGCCTGCGGAGGAGGCCTGGATGACGGCCGTCCCCTCTGGACTGGAAGCTCCATGAAGCAGGCGTGGGGTCTGCTTCCCACAGAGGCACACTCAGCCCTGGACGCAGCAGGTGCCATTGCAAACAAGGGAAACTGAGGCTCTCAAAGGTGACGTTACTGGGTCAAGGTCACCCTGAGGGTAAATAAATGGCAGAATCTCGGCTCCAGACAGGCCGGGGGGACTCCAGTGCCCACGTGCTGACCCGCTATCTGGGTCTCTCTCTTTACATCTGAGTTTTTAACTTGTCTCCTTTCTCCTGTCACTTAATTTTGTAATTAACTACTACAAAAAAGTAGTTTGTGCCACACAAATGCTTCTCAGACTTCCATGTGCAGAGGAATCTCTGGGTGGGGGGCGGGAATCGGGTTCTGTAGGGCTGGATGGGGCCATCATTTGTTTTTCTAACACGTTGCTGCCGCTGTGAGTTCAGGACCCGCAGAGAACCGCTGGCCTGAGGACCACCGCCACCTGGTGTGCAACGCTGGGACTGCAAGTCCTAGAGTGACGTGTACTTAGAGCAAATGGGTGATGCGACCCGGAAGGTCTGGACCGGGTAGCCACCCACTCCCCTGCATGGCGCATGCTATTACAGCTTTACATGGGAGGAAACTGGGGCGCAGGGGCCTTAAGCAACTAGTCAAGGTCATAAAACCATTCACCAAATACTTCCTGAGTAGCAATTATGGGCCATGGGGAGGAAGCTATGAATGAAATCCCGACACACAAGAATGAATTGGTAGCAAGTGGCAGACCCACAGCCCAGGAAGCTGGAAACCCGGGGTCCACCTTGCGCCCTCCCCCCAACCCAGTGGATACTGTAGATTGGGGAGAAACCCCTCCTTTGGCCCACCTGTGGGGAGGGCCTGCCTCCTGGGGGTGATCATTACCTGAGACCAGGATGGGTCTCCCCGCGGAGGAGAAAGAGACAGGGGCACTTGTGGAGGGGGGGGCGTCCTCCTGGGCATGGGTGGCGCCTCCTCTGAGCCCCTTCCCGGGCTGGGCGTCGGGGAAGGAGATCTGGGAGGCGCTGGTGCTGCAGGCAGAGAAGCCAGAGGTGAGGCTGAGGACGCAGCCGGAAGAGGGGGAAGGGGTCACTCAGGAATGCTTCCCTTTCCCTGGAGGTCATCGGAAGGCAGGGCCTGCAGTCCAGGCTGTCTGGCTTGGTGCCAGCACAGAGCTGGGCACATGTTCTCCCAAATGGCTTCTGAGCACAGACCAACCCACCTCCTCCCGAGTCTGGTTCCCCAGAAGGAGCCATAGAGTCACCTGGCGGGCACCTCGCTGTCCTCTGGGTGGGTGCTGCGGTTAGGGTGGGTCCCCAGGTGAGGCGGCTCATGGGTGGTGTCTTTACCTGCAAAGAGTCAGTGCCAGGAGCTTAGCCAGCAGGGACTGGTGGCCTCCAGGAGACCGCACAGCGGGGCCCCGAGGACACTGCATCTGGGCAGGTTTATGTCCCGGCTCTGCCTCCTCCCTCCACCTACCCACCCTCCCTCCTCCTTTCCTTCCGAGCACCTCCTGTGACTGGGAACTGTGCTGGGAGCCGGAATAGAGCAACGAGTAACATACACAAGACCAACCTGGGGGACCCACAGGTGAGTGTGACTCAGGTGTGACACAGAGCATGACACCCCAAAGAGGGACAACCTCTCCGGAATGGGAAGGCTTCCCCGAGGAGGGGGAGGGGCTGGGATGTGAGTCCGCCTTCCCCGGAGGCATCAGCAGAGGAAGCAGGAGGTGGGAGGCCCAGGGCGGGAGGGAGGAGGGCATGGTGGAGAGGCTGGAGGGAGGCCAGGGAGGCCGGCTGTGGCCATAGCGATCCAGGCAGGTCTCCTGCACACGCTTGCTCACAGAGCATTCTTCACAGCAGCCAAAGAAGTGGAACAGCCTAGCTGACCATCAACTGGTACCTGGGTCAGCAAAATGAAGCATCTCTGTTCACCGGAATATTGTTTGGCAATAAAAGGAACAAAGCACCTTGGCCAGTGTGCTCAGTGGTTAGAGTGCTGGCCCGCACATCAAGGGGGTCTCGGGTTCAATGCCTGGTCAAGGGCATGTACCTGGGTTGCGAGTTTGATCCCCAGCCCCGGTTTGAGGCATGCGTGGGAGGCAACCAATCAATGTGTCTCTCTCACATCGATGTTTCTCTATCCCCCCCTTCCTCCCTCCTTTCCACTCTCTCTAAAAATCAGTGGAGAAATAGCCCTGGGTGAGGATTAACAACAATAAAAATAAAAGGAACAAAGTATGAACGCATGCAACAGCATGGAGGAACCCCACGTGTGTCACGTCCAGGGAGAGAAGCGGACCCAGAAGAACACATCCAGAAAATGTCTCACAGGGTCTGGCCTAGAGGGACAGGAAGTAGATTAGCGGTCTCCGAGCTGGGGGTGGGGGTGGGGTGGCTATGAGTGGACACGAGGCTTCTGAGATCACGGTGTGAACCTAAGAGTGAAAGGCCAAAGTGAGAGGCAGCAAGGGTTTATCTGAGGTCCAGCGCAACAGCTATTGGGGAAGCCCTGCTTCAGACAGAAACCCAAATGGGGTTCCGGTAAGGGTGCTTATGAGAAGGGCAAGGGGAGCAGTTACATCAGTAGAAGGAATATCACATCAAGAGAATGTTAATCACTTCAGCAGATAAAATGACTTCATGATGTCAGTCCTAAGGATGGTTTCCTTTTCAGTCCTGTAGTCACCTGTCCGTATTCCTCAGATCTGCTTTTATCTTTGCAAACAGTTCTTTGGAATGCAAGGTTGCTTAGGCCCCGTCCAAAGGTTCATTTGCCCAGTTCTAACATTCTGAAGGTTTGAGGCATAAGATGAGGCTCTGAGGCCATTTCAGCTCTGTTTGCTGAAACCAGTTTGGCTCAGTGGATAGAGCGTCGGCCTGTGGACTGAAAGGTCCCGGGTTTGATTCCAGTCAAGGGCATGTACCTTGGTTGCGGGCTCATCTCCAGTGGGGGGTGTTCAGGAGGCAGCTGATCGATGATTCTCTCTCATCGATGTTTCTAACTCTCTATCCCTCTCTCTTCCTCTCTGTAAAAAATCAATAAAATATATTTAAAAAATAAAATAAAGTGGCTCTGTTTATAGTTACTAATTTTTTAAGTGGTGATAGTTTCATAACTTTGTAAGTTTCTTTTTAAATATATATATATTTTTTATTGATTTCAGAGAGGAAGGGAGAAGGAGAGAGAGATAGAAACATCAATGATGAGAGAGAATCATGGATTGGCTGCCTCCTGCACGCCCCCTACTGGGGATCAAGCCCACAACCCGGGCACGCGCCCTGACAGAATCAACCTCCTGGTTCATAGATCAATGTTCAACCACTGAGTCATGCTGACGGGGCTGTAAGTTTCTTAAAAATCATAGAATTGTACACTTAAAGTGAATAGATTTTATGGCATAGGAATTCTATCTCAATAAAGCTGTTTTTAAAAATCCAGTCCTAAGTGGAGACATCTGTAATAGTGTCAGCAATAAAAATAAAAGATAAGTAAACATAAAGTCTTTCTCCCCAAAGCAATGATTTTTTAAAAATAGTTTTTATTGATTTCAGAGAGGAAGGGAGATAGACACATTAATGATGAGAGTCATTGATTAGCTGCCTCCTGCACGCCTCACACCAGGATCGAGCCTGCCACCCAGGCATGTGCCCTGACCAGGAATCGAACCGTGACCTCCTGGTTCATTGGTTGACACTCAACCACCGAGCCACGCCTGCTGGGCCAAAGCAATGATTTTAATTAGTGATGGGATAGTGTAGGTCCAACCCCCAACCATCAGCACCCTTCTCCACATGACTGCACCCGCTGGGAAGCCATATTTCTTAGCTATGTCTCCTTAGGTAAGGAAAACAAAAGAAAAAAATAAACAAGTAGGACTGCATCAAACTAAAAAGCTTTCGTGCAGAGTAGGAAGCCATCAACAACACACAAAACCCAACCTACTGAATGGGAGAAGACATTCACCAGAGATGCATCTAATAAGGGGTTAATATCCAAACTATATGGGAACCCATATACCTTAACACCTAAGAGACAAACAATCCGATGAAAAAATGGACAGAGGACCTGAATAGATATTTCTCCAAAGAGGACCTACAAACAGCCAACAGTCGTGTGAAAAGATGCTCAGCATCATTAATCAGGGAAGTGAAAATTAAATTACAGGGAGGTGCCGCCTTGCACCTGTCACATGGCTATCACCAATAAATCAAAGAACAACAAGTGTGGATGAAGAGGCAGAGAACAGGGAGCTCTTATGCACTGCTCATGGGATTATGAATCGGTACAGACACTCTGGAAAACTATACGGAGGTTCTTCCAAAAATCAAAAATAGAACTACCAGATGATCCAGCAACACCACTGCTGGGTATTGAACCAAAGAAACCTAAAACATAATTAAAAAACACATACGCACCCCTATGTTCATTGCAGCAGTATTTATGCTAGCTAAGCCAGGGAAACAACCTGTGTCCTTCTGTGCTAATAATAGAGGAATATGTAAACTGTCCAGGATGCCGTCACAGTAACAGTAAGGACCAAACAGCAGGCTGGGAGGAGGTTAGTGAGGGATGACCAAACAACTGAACGGCAGGCTGCATGGGGCAACCAGGCTGGCAGGATGGACAGTTGGGGCAACCAGGCCAGCAGTTAAGGGCAATCAGGCTGGCAGGCAGGTAAGCAGTTAGGAGCCAGCAGTCCTGGATTGTAAGAGGGATGTCCTGTATTGGAGAGGGTGCAGGCTGGGCTGAGGGGACCCCTCTCTCCTGTGCACAAATTTCATGCACCAGACCTCTAGTCCATTTATAAATGGATAAAGAACCAGTGCCCTCTACTGGTGACGCTTAACATCATGCTCACAAGGAGAAATGCTTCAATAGTCGAGTCCAATCCTTGACAGCAGAGCAGGCCCTGAGGGTGACTGGGAGCTGAGAGGCAATGGATGGGTAACAAGCACACCTTCTAGAAGCCCCTTTTTCCCGATTTTTTTTGCTGTTCCTTTTCCACAGCATTCTGTCCTCGCTGTGTGGGTGTAACAGCTTCCTGGATGTTTCTGTGTGCACGTTTAAATAATTATTTATATATCTATATCTATATATATCTATATATAATATATATATATATATATCAATTTAAAATATATATATATATTTTTAATTGATTTCAGAGAGGAAGGGAGAGGGAGAGAGAAACATCACTGATGAGAGAGAACCATTGATAGGCTGCCTCCTGCAAGCCCCACACTGAGGATTAAGCCCACAAACCCGAGCATGTGCCTTTGACAAGAATCAAACCCGGGACCCTTCAGTCTGCAGGCCGACACTCTATCCACTGAGCCAAACCAGCTAGAGCCATTTGGTTTGAATCTTTTAAGTCCCCGGCGATTCCTGGGTTCATCATGGCATCAGCTATAGGAAGCTCTCCCGTTCATGTGTGTTGTTATTCTCTGGTTTTCCCTGAGGCCGGAACGTCTGCACCGCCCACTCCCGTTACTTACGAAGGACGACCCGGCCTCCCAGGAGCTGGTGGGGTCCTTGTGCCGGGGTATCAGTGTGTCCTTCCCCAATGGGTCTCTGCCCAGAGCAGGCGGTCTGTCTGGCCTGCGGTGGCCATGTGGGCTGGCGTCCTCCCTCAGTGACACACAGGACGTGCTCCCAAACACACGGCGAGGGCGGCACCCTGGAGCGGCAGCATCTCCGCGAGCCTGGCTCCCCATAGAGACCCTTTCGGGGTTTTTAGCCAAAAAGCAGATCGTTTTCATGAGGAGATAAAATCCCAGGCTCCTCCTGCTCAGACTGCTCCGTGTCCATGGTCAGCACTGGTACAGACTATTTTATTTTATTTTATTTTATTTTATTTTATTTTATTTTATTTTATTTTATTTTATTTTATTTTATTTTATTTTAAAGATGGAGTTACACTTAGCAGTTCTCCGTGTCACTCCCATCATTCGATTTGTTTGTCTGCTCTGAGCCCAGGGCCTCCCTGGGGACTCTGGTAAGTAAGTCACCTCTCGCCGTCCCCCGGCCCTCCTGCGTGAATTCTGGGGTGAGCTTCCCTCCCCTGGGTTCCGCTCGTCACCCTCCTTTCCTCTCCTCTCTGCTTTCGAGGGATGTGTTGGCACCTCTCCCTGCTGCTGAGCCAGCTTTGATTGCTCTTCGGTCCGAGTTCTGACTTCCCTGCAATCTGGCGGGCGGCCACCGGCTGGGCTGGGAGGCCTCTTCCCATGAGTCTGTCTTGAGTCAGTACAACAGCCTTGCCAATAAGTCAAGATTTTACCAGCCCAACACATTCAGGAAGAAGAAGGAGTGAACGCACAGCAAGAATAAATGAAGTTGTTGATGAGGATGCACAGAAGAGGGAGCTCTTATGCACGGCTGGTGGGATTGTACATCGGCGCAGACACTCTGGAAACCATACCCAGGCTCAAAATAGAACTACCACATGACCCAGCAACCCCACTTCTGGGCGTTGACCCGAAGAAACCCAAAACTCTACTTCGAAGACATATGTCATCATCAGGAATTCTTACCCAAATGACCCACATGGATCTCACGCCACTCACGGATCTAGTTATCCAAAGAAAAATCAAAGCCCAAACCCGACCTCGTTCACAGCGGGGGTCAGAGGCCCTTTGCCCCGTGGGGGTGGGAGAGATGCGGCCCCCGACTGCTGGGCACAGACCTCAGCCCCCCATCGGGGGGGTGCGCTGCTTACCCGGGCATGCGGTGACCCCCTTGGGCGGGACGACCGGGCAGGCGACGCAGCGGGCACAGGAGTTCCTGGCTGACGTGGCACAGAACATGCCAGGTCGGCATTCACAGACGCGGGAGGAGTTCCACGTGCAAGGCGTCTTTTCCACGAGGTGATCTGAGGGGCACAGAGAAAGGGAGGGTGGGGGACGGCCAGGGCAGCCAGCGGGGGCAGGGGACCCCGGAGGGCGGGGGTGCATTCGCCCAGGAGCAGTCATTCTCCTGACTTCCCCATCGAGCTGGGCTTCGGCCCGCTCAGAACAAGGACGCTGAGCACACAAAGGAGGCACACAAGGAAGGAGCAAATCCTACACGCTTCTGCTGACAGAAAGTGCTAGAAGGCGCAGCTTATTCCAAAGTGAGAAAGCAGGGCTGCCCGGGCGTGGCTGGGGGTTGGGTGGGGGAGGGAAGATGAGGGGCATGAGGAAGCTTGGGAGCAATGGGTGGTCTATTACCTTCACTGGTGGTGGTTACACAGGCGCATACATATGTCAGAATGTACCAAATTGCACACTTTAAACACGTGTGTTTTATTAGACATTAGCTATCCTACATAATAAAGAGCTAATATGCTAATTAGACCAGACAGCAGAACAACCTTCCAGAACGGCTCTGGGTCACTGTCTCTCCATCAGAATGATCTTTCCCTCTCCTCCCTTTCTCCTTCTTCCTCTCCCTGTCCGCCTTTTCCCCTCCCCCCCTCTCCCTCTCCTCTTCCTCTTTCCTCTCTCCCCCTTCATCTCCCTCTCTCTCTCTCCCTCTCCCTCTCGGCCAGGGCTGCGAGGGCCGAGCCCTTGCAGGAATTCCGTGCATCAGGCCTCTACTGTCCCAATAAAGCTGCTAAAGGCACCCAGAGGGCAGGGTGACAGGGCACGGGGATAGATGCACCAAGACTGAGCTCGATGCTTTGAAACTGGTGACCACCCATCCCGTTCCTGGTCTCTCTACTTCTGAACAGGTTCGAAATTGTCAATGATAAGAAGGTTTTTTTCCCGTCAAAACTGGTTGGGCTCAGTGGATAGAGCGTCCGTCTGCGGACTGAAGGGTCCCAGGTTCGATTCCGGTCAGGGGCATATACATTGGTTGCGGGCACATCACCAGTGGGGGGTGTGCAGGAGGCAGCTGATCAATGTTTCTCTCTCATCGATGTTTCTGGCTATCTATCTCTTTCCCTTCCTCTCTGTGAAAAATCAATGAAATATATTAAAAAAAAAAATTTTTTAAGGTTTTTTTTCCCAAAAACAAACAAATGAAAGGTTAGAGCTTTTCTAAAAGAAAAGGTATAATCATGCACTTGCATGTGTTTGGAGATGTTTTGTGTGCTCCATTTATGTGAAAATAGAGTCGCTGCCTCGGACGAGACCAAGGTGACTCGCTCCGTAAGAACCCTTCTTCTGGGCTGTTACTTAGAGGCCTCACACGACAAAGGCGAGGGGCCGCACCTCCGGAGAGAGCGGGCACTGGTGGGCACTGGTGGGCACTGGGGGAGCTTGTGCAAAGGGCAGGAGTGGGCTGGGCCATGAGCGAGATGACTTGGGATGATGGCAACTATGATCACCCCTATGGCTACTGACATAATCGTGTGTGCGAGAGGCAGTGTTCTTCACACTCTACCTGATTAACTCAGTTTGATCTTCTTCATCCCACCACTCTCTGAGACAGCACCATTAGGGTGCCATTTAAAACTGAAAAATGGGGGAGATGTGGAGGGCCCCCTGGGAATGCACATGGGCATTCTTTAATTAATGTCAGTTTGAACCCACTGGCATCGGCAAAGCCACGCCCTGGAAACACACCTTGCCAAAAGGGCAAGGGTGTTGTCAGCTTGGCCTTCATTTCAGCCCGTGGTGCGGGGATGTGGGTTTGATATCTAAATCTAGCCTGGCACCAGGGATGCTCAGGGCCTACTCAAGAATGCACATAATCTCCTTTTGTCTAACCCCCACCCCCTGGTGGAAAGACGGGTCCCTACCTCCTGAGCAGGTCACGCAGGCTGTGCAGCGGCCGTCCTTGTCCAGGTAGTAGTCCCGGTCACACTGCTTCCTGCAGTCGGCGGACCCCAGAGGGCACAGGTGCTGCGGGGACAGTCCTGGGGATGGAAGCACAGACAGTCCGGGTCAGGCCTCACCTCCTCAACATCACTGAAGCTCCCCCCAGCTCTGTGGCCAGCTCCCAACCCCCACACATGTCAGACCCATCCCCAGAGCGGGTCATGAGGCTCAAAGAGGAAAGGGCTGTGTCTAAGGCCACATAGGAGATGAGCTCTGAGCCCCCCTATATCTTTGGTGTTCACCCCACCCCCCCAAACGATCCACCATTTCCACCATGCCAGGGCCTCGCTCCACGCTCACTCCTCAAGACTTTGATGGCCAATTTCCCTTTGAGATCAGCAATGAGGCAAGGTGCTCTACTCTCACAACATCTATTCAAGCAGGATACAGGGGTCTCAGGCAATGCAATAAGGCAAGAAAAATAAATAAAAGTGACCATTTTTAGGAAGGAAGATAGCCATCTGAGTACACAGATGATCCCAAAGAATCTGCAGATGCATTATTAGAACTGATAAGTAAATGAGCAAGGGAGTTGGATACAATGTTATGATATCTGAGTCAATCAAATGTCTGTATATGTGGATTGAGCCCATATGAAAATGCTCTTTTGATAGGCCAGCCAGTCATATATTGGCAATTTCACACGGTTCAAAAAGAATTGGAACATGACGTATTGAAAAAGATACTGTAGGATCATGATCAGAAATATGGAATACATAGGACTCTAACAAAAACATGTGAGCATCTCTACATAGAAAAAATAATAAAGCATTCCTATGAGAAATTGAAGAAGGCCTAAATAATGTAGGGCTATGCCGTGTACTCAACACTGCAAGGGTGGATTCTTTCTAAACTGATCTACAGCTTCAAGGCAACCCTCATCAAAACCTCAGTAGGACATCCTGTGGAATTTGAAAAGCTTATTCTAAAATGTATGTGGAGCCCTGCTGGTGTTGTGCAGTGGTTGAGTGTTGACCCATGAACCAGGAAGTCACAGTTCAATTCCTGGTCAAGACACATGCTTGGGTTGCAGGCTCAATCCCCAATAGGGGGCATGCAGGAGGCAGTCAATCAATGATGTTTCTGACTCTCTCTCCCTTTCTCTTCCTCTCTCTGAAATCAACTTAATAAAACATCAAAAACGAACTTTAAAAATGTACATGGAAATGCAAATTACTGGAATAGCCAATACTAGAAGGACAGAGCTGAACAAGTTGCTCATCCATCCATGAAGACGGACTGAAAAACTACAGGAATTGAGAGTGTGTGTTCACACAATAGGCAAGAAGACTCGTGGAACAGGAGACACCCGCACAGAGTCACACCCACACAGACATGGGCTTTAGACGTACATAAAGCTGGCATGCAAAACTGTGGGGAAAGGACCGTTTATTTGGTAAACTAGAGGCCCAGTGCATGAAATTTGTGCGGAGGGGCGGGGGAGGGGGGGAGGGGAACGTGCTGTGGTATCCCTCAGCCCAGCCTGCACCCTCTCCAATCTGGGACTCCTCGAGAAATGTCCAACTGCCCTCTCACAATCCAGGACTGCTGGTTCCCAACTGCTCACTTGCCTGCCTTCCTAATTGCCCCTAACCATTTCTGCCTGCCAGCCTGATCACCCCCTAACCACTCCCCTGCCATCTTGATACCTAACTGTTCCCCTGCCAGCCTGTTTGCCCCTAACTACCCTCCCCTGCAGGCCTGGTTCCCCCCGACTGCCCTCCCCAGCAGGCCTGATCACTCTCAACTTCCCTTTCCTGCTAGCCATCTTGTGGTGGCCATCTTGTGGCGGCCATCTTGTGTCCATATGGGGGCCGCCATCTTTGACCACACGGGGGCAGCCATCTTGTGTGTTGAAGTGACAATTTGCATATTACTCTTTTATTAGGTGAGATGGTGTTGGTTCCGCTGGATAGTCACATGGACACTTTTAACATGACCGCTGCCTCATGCCATACACACAAACCAGGGTAGAGTGCAGAGTCAAACATGGAAGGCAAAGCAATAATAATTCCAGGCAATAAATGCAGGCTGTCTCTGAGAGCTCTGAGGAGGGAGAGTCTTACAAGGCAGATCATAGAAAGCACTCAACACAAAGGAAAAGATGGACTGCATTAAAATTAAGAACATCTCTTCAGGGAAAGCCTCCATAAAGAAAATAAGAAGGCAAGCCATGAGGTGAGAGGACATATTTGAGCACAACTGTAGGACACAACCCAGAATTATAAGAAGTCCTACATGTAATTTTTTTTTAAAAAACCACAAGAGAAACGAACAAATACATTCACACCAAGATTTTTCATTATTCATTATAGCCCCAAAGGGGAAACAACCCAAATATCTGTCTAAATAAGCAGTGTGGCATACCTCTACAATGGGAGGCTATCTACACTAAGACATGCAAATTGACCGTCCCTCCACTATACTTACCAGCCAATCAGGAGTGAGTATGCAAGTTAATCCAACAAAGATGGCAGAGCTAAGACTGGAGATAGCATAGAAGGAAGCCAAGCCCTGCAGAAGGGAGTGAAGCAGCAGAGAAGGGAGTGAGGTGGCAGAGACAGGAGGGTGAGAGGCAGTGGAAAAGGCTGCAAGAAGCCCTATTCTTGCAGGAATCTTCCTGCAATGGGCCTCTAGTTAAGTAATAAACAAGAGAGAACTGGGGGCCCCAACCTGTCACCATGAGAACCAGGAGGGAGAAAACCGACCCCTGCCGAGGCTCACCTGCTCTGTTGCAAGCAGCAGCACCCCCGATAGTCTGGCACTCGGGAGGCACCCCCAACTGCTGTTAAATGTGTGGGTGCCCCCACTGTCTACGCTGGTTCTCAGTGACTCCAACCTCTCTGCCCCGCACTGGCAAAGACCACCACTCAGGGCCTGCCTGCCCGGACCACCACGCACAGGCCACCCACCAACCAAACAGCGCTGGAGAAATTACCTGCATCCAGACGGGGCTTCCCCACGGAGGAGAGAACATTGGGAGCCCTCAGCATTTTGGAATCTGCTTCGGGGGTGAGAGGAGTGTCCCCTTCAAGAAGCGGGGTCCTGGCTTCAGAGCTGGCTGAGGTCAGGACGGGCTGGGCCCGGGGGGTGGTGCCGCTGGGGGAAAAGCCAGAGATGGGACGGACAGTTCTGGGGATGGGGCAGGGGAGGCCGGGGCTCAGGGGGAATTGTTTCTATGGAGCAGGGGGCCCCAGACCTTCTGCCTACAGTCTCTGGCAGGGCCCCCCCTCGGTCAAGGAGCCAGGGCTGTGTTTTCTGGGCCTCCTTTGCTCCTGCGAAATCAAGGCAGGGAAGGCACACAGTAGGGCCATAAATGACTTCAGGGATGGCCTCTCTCCATGCTCACTGCTATGCGCTGGAGCCCAGGCACCCTGCGCTGAATCACCGCCCCTGCCAACCGCCCCTCCTCTCCCAGCCCAGCTATGGTGCAGGCATCCTGTGGGGGAAACAGCCCCACACTGAGGCCAGCTGGATGGGAAGGGCCGGAGTCACCTGGCAGGCGCCCTGCAGTCCTTCCGGCCCGCGCTGCAGGCAGGGCTGGCCCCTGGGGAGCGGGGCTCACAGACGGTGTCCCTCTGCGCGGTGCCTGCAGGGGACACAATGCCTTCAGCCTTGGTGGGGAGGAGTCTGAGGACTCCAGGAATAGCTTTTACTACCGCAAACCAGAGTCGGTCCGGATGGGCACTTGGCAAACACCGTGGCCATCCGGTGTTCGCACCAGCCCAGCCTCCATCTCCCCAATCTCAGTGTCTGTTTTTAGGGCTGATTTCCTCCACTCCCCCTTCCCTTCCCCATGGGGGCAGGATGGACCAATCAAATCCTTCCATTTCTTCCATTCCCCTGGCCAAGATGGACTGGCTCAGGGACGGGCACGTGACCTCAGACACACCGTTCTGAGATGCCATGTCAGGGTTTGGGTTTTGGCTGTTGGAAATGCAGGACGAAGACATTGCCTCTCCACTGGGGTTGGATATGAAGCAAGCCCGGAGCTGCTGGGAGGCATCTTACAGACGCCTAAGCATAGGGGATAGAGCTGAGAGGTAGGAAACGTCAGGGCGCCTGGATCCAGCCATGCCTGAAGCTACCCAGAGCTGTCCCTCGACTTTTCAGTTACATGAGCCACAAACGTAAGATTTTTGCCACTTGCAACCCAAAGAATCCTGAAGACTAACTGGTGGAAGCTGAGTGGAGAGGAAAACTCACAGCGTTTGCCCTCAAGTGGGCCTGGGTGTGCCCGTCACCTCTCTCGTGTTGTAGCCGCGACAGACAAGGCAAAGGATAGTAATAATAACACGGTATAATAATAATAATTACCCAGGCTGCTGTCGGGATAGAGTGTTCACCCCGTGTGCCTCTCTCACTGTGGGACACACAGCATGTGCCCAGTGAATGCCCTGTCCCTTTCCTCCTCTGGACCCCGTCCTGTCACAGAGAAAGGACCTGGGGATGACCGCCCAGCCCTCGCCCCATGTTCTCTGCTCGGCAATCCTGAGCCATGTGCCCGCTGCCTGGACCTCCATGTCCTCCCTGCAGGATGGAGCTCATGCAGTCCGCCTCGTGGGAGTTCGTGAATTTCAGGAACAGGAAGCCTGTGCGAGCTCTTAGCTGGGGCTCAGCGGGGGCTGAACCTGACCCAGACACTACTTTCCGTTTTACAGCTGGAGAGACGCTGCTCCATGGGGGAGCCCACAGGGGGACCTAGATGTTAGCCGGGGTTTGGCAGCCAAAGGCTGAGCCCTCCCAAAGCGCACTGTTCCATAGAAATAGGATGAGGTCACACAGGCCATTTAAATCTCCTAGTCACCACATCAAAGGACAGCCCTGCGCTAGCTAGTGTGGCTCAGTGGATAGAGCGTCGGCTTGGGGACTGAAGGGTCCCGGGTTCAATTCAGGTCAAGGGCATGTACCTTGGTTGCAGGCACATCCCCAGTAGGGGGAGTGCAAGAGGCAGCTGATCAATGCTTCTCTCTCATTGATGTTTCTATCTCTCTATCCCTCTCCCTTTCTCTCTGTAAAAAAAAAAAAAATCAATAAAATATATATTTTTTTAAAGAAAAAAGTACAGCCCTGGCCAGGGAGGCTCAGTTGCTTGGGCATTATCCTGTGCACCAAAAGGTTGCTGGTTCAATTCCCAGTCAGGGTACATGCCCAGTTTGCAGGCTCCACCCTGGAAGGGGGCTAGCAATCGATGTTTCTCTCTCATCGATGTTTCTATCTCTCTCTCCCTCTCCCTTCCTCTCTCTCTCAAAATCAATTTTAAAAATATTTTAAAAATATATTTTTATTGACTTGATTCCAGAGTGGCAGGGAGAGGATAGAGAGATAGAAACATCAATGATGAGAAAGAATCATTAGTCAGCTGCCTCCTGCACGCCCCCTACTGGGGATCGAGCCTACAGCCTAGGCATGTGCCCTTGGCTGGAATCGAACCTGGGACCCTTCAGTCCATAGGCTGACACTCTTATCCACTGAGCCAAACCAGCTGAGGCTAATTTTTAAAAAGTAAAAAGAGCCTTGACCAGTTTGGCTCAGTGAATAGAGCATTGGCCTGCGGACTGAAGGGTCCTGGATTTGATTCCAGTCAAGGGCATGTGCCCGGGTTGCAGGCTCAGTCCCCACTGTGGGGCATGCAGGAGGCAGCCAATCAATGATTTCCTCTCATCACAGATGTTTCTATCTCTTTCCCCCTCTCCCTTCCTCTCTGAAATCAAATATATATATATATATATATATATATATATATATATATATATATATATATATATATATAATGACGAGATGGTTTACATTCTGTTACACTGTTTGAAATCCGTGCGTGTTCTTACTGACAGCATATCTCAGTGCCACTGGATACATTCTAGGCGCTCAATGACCACGTGTGGCCAGCCTCAGGCAGGGTGGGTCTAAGGGCAGCAAAGAGAGGACTCTGGCGCCACCATGTGGCAATCACAAGGAAACCACTGGTCCACACCCCTAGTTGGAACAACTGAACTCCAGGCATTTGACAGACGGAGAGACTGAGGCCCAGAGAAAGTTAGGAACACACTGCACAGATGCAGAGCCCATGAAATCCCAAGCACCCGACGCTCAGTCTGGAGTGCTTTCCAGCCCACCCTGCTGCCCCTGCTCGCGGGTGGCGGGCTTCTGCGTGTCCCTGAGCAGAGAGTTTTGTGTGGCTCGGCTCACGGCCGAGTAGGCGTGAACTAAGGGAATGGGGTGGGAAGGGTGTCCTAGGCTGAGGGAACAGCATATGCAAAGGCCAGGTAGAGGGGAACGTCCTGCCCATCCCCGAAACTGAGAGGAGACAGACCAGCTGGGGCCCAGATAGAGGGGGCTGGTGCTGAGCGCTGGGCTGGAGGAAGGAGGGGCCACACCACGGGGGGGGGGGGGGAGTCCTGGTGCAAACCGCATGCTGGAGGCTCTGGGGACTGGGTGCGCTTTCCCTGCCTCCTCCCACGAGGCCCTGAATAACTGAACGGGAAAGGGGAAGGCAGACAGGCCCGGGGCCGTGGGGCTGGAGGAGCGTCCCCTGGCCTTCTCTTTGCTTTATGTAGCTCAGACATGGAGCCCAACAAACCAGCAGCAGGAGTGCCCACGTACACAGGCTCTCAGACAAGAGTCCCCTAGCCCGGCCCGTGGGGCTCAGTGGTCGACGCCCACCTGCTCCCGGGGCCTCCCTTCCAAAAGGCCCTCTCCATGCGCCCACCCAGGACCTGTGGCCCTTATTTCCTCCCTGGCCGCCTGGCCCTCCTTGTCAGAAAATCAGAAGCCCAGAGAAGACTAGGAAGCTGCCTAAGGTCACACAGCACGTTGGAAAAGAAAGCCGTTTCTCAGTCTTGAGCCTGGTGCCCAGTCTCTTCTCCTCGGACTCCCAGGACTCTCCCAGGACAGACACTTAAGGTTTCCTTCTTGCCTCAGAGAAACTGTGCCCTGAGCCTCAAACCATCCCAGGGTCTCTTCCAGCCAGGCCTGTGCCTGGGGTCCCCAGGATCTCTCTGAGCTGGGACACGGGGGAGGGGGGGCACAGGGGCACAGGGGCCCTGGCGCCTGGCACACTGGTGGCATCATTGCGAAAGGAGTTGGGATCTGCCCCACAGGGAGGCCGTGGGAGGTGCGGGGTCACCTGGAGGTCGGCGGGGCTGGTGCGGTGTGGGCACAGATCTCAGGCCTGGGCTGGGGGTGGGGTACTCACCGGGAGACTTGACCATCGTCCCTGGGGGGCAGGTGGAGTGGGGGACGCAGCGGGCACAGGAGTTGGAGGCTGACGTGGCACAGTACATGCCGGCCCGGCACTCACAGACGCGGGGGGAGTTCTGCGAACATGGCTGCTTCTCTACCTGGTCGCCTACAGGACACAGAAGAGGGTCACAGAGGACAGAGGCAGGGCGAGGGCAGGGACCCCGAGGACCCGCCAGGGTCAGTCTGCACGCGAGAGAGGGCTGCTGTGGCTCCCCTGGACAGGCAGGGTCCTGAGGCTGTCACCTCCCAGCCCACGACCCTGGAGACCACTAAGCTGGTATTAAAAGCAAATGAATGGCCCAATTTTAAAATAGGGCACCCGCCGGCATGGATCAGTGGTTGAGTGTCGGCCCATGAACCAGGAGGTCATGGTTTGATCTCCAGTCAAGGCACACGCCCAGGCTGTCGGCTCAATCCCTGCTACGGGGTGTGCAGGAGGCAGCCGATCAATGATTCTCTCTCATCATTGATGTTTCCATCTCCCTCTCCCTTTCCCTTCCTCTCTGAAATCAATAAAAACATATATATATATATATGTATTAATAAAACGGGCAAAAAGGACATGGCAGGACATTAAACACCAATTTCTAAGTGAAAGAAACTAATCTAGACCAATCTGTAAAGGCTGACTCCAACTCTGACATTCTGGAAAAGACGAAACCATGGAGTCAGTAAGACCAGGGGTGCCAGGGTTTAGGTAAAGGGCCGGGGGGGGGGGGGGGAGAACAGACAGGGGAGCACAGAGGACTTAGGGGCTGAGACGACCCCGTAAACACTGCAGCCGTGGATATAGGACATGACACGTTTGTCAGGAGCCACAGAACTTCGAACACAAAGAGGGAACCTTCACATGAACCATGAGCTTGGGTTAATCACATGCAGGTACTGGCTCAACAGCTGTTACAACACACCACACCCGTGCAAGGTGTTTACAACAGGAGAGACTAAGGGGCCCATACGGGACTCTCAGAACTTTCTGTCTAATTTTTCTATAAATTGAAAACTGTTCTTTTAAAAATCTATGAAGGCTCTACCTGTTTGGCTCAGTGGATAGAGCATCGGCCTGTGGACTGAAGGGTCCCGGGTTTGATTCCCCTGTCAAGGGCACATGCCCCGGTTGCAGGCTCGATCCCAAGTAGGGGGCATGCAGGAGGCAGCCAATCAATGATTCTCTCTCATCATTGATATTTCTATCTCTCCCTCTCCGTTTCTCTCTGAAATCAATAAATATATGATGGCTGTTCTAACTTTAAAAAAAAAAGTATTTTTTTTTTAATGAGCTAAGGATTTAAGAAAATGTTTTTCCAAAGAAGATATACAAATCACAATATAAAAGATGCTCAATATCATTAGTCCTTAGGAAAATGCAAACCAAAAGCACAAAGAGATACCACTTCACACCCATCAGGATGGCTATAGCCACAAAGACAGACAACAGCAAGTGTTGGCAATGGTGTGGAGAACCGGGAATATTCACACCGTGCTAGTGGGACAGTCATCAGATTGTGCTGTAGAAACCAGTTTGATGGTTCTCAAAAATTACACATAGATTTATTGTTTTTCGTTTTACTTATTGATTTGAGAGAGAGAAAGGAAGGGAGAGGAAGACAGAGGGGGGGGGGAGGAGAGAGAGAGAGGAGAAGAGAGAGAGAGAGAGAGAGAGAGAGAGAGAGAGAGAGAGAGATTGTTCCACTAATTTATGCATTCACTGGTTGAGCCTCGTATATACCATAACTAGGGATTGACCCCACAACCCTGGCATATTGGGACAACTCTCTAACCAACTGAGCTGCCCAGCCAGGGCCAAACATAGATTTACCTATGATCCAGCAATTCCATGCCTACATATCTACCGAGAGAACTAAAAACAAATGTCTACACAGACACTCACACATGATCTGAGCAGCTCTATTCATAACAGCCACAAAGTAGAGATACCCAAGTGTCCGCCGACATCACGAACAAAATGTGGCCCATCTACGCAATGCAATCACGTTCAGCCGTGGAAAGGCGTGAAGTGTGACACCTGTTACCGCACAGGTCAACTTTGAAAACACTTCAGTTGAGGAAGATACATAGCTTGGGATTCCACTTCCATGAAATGTCCTAGGCAGACACGTCCACAGAGACAGAAAGTGGGTGGGGTGGGTGAGAGGAGGAAAGACTTGGGAGGTCATGGGTTTCTTTGGGGAGAGGTAGAATGTTCTGGAATTTGATGGTGGTGTTGGTGGCACAGGGTGAGTCCAGTATAGTAAAATCACTGCACTGTACACTTTAAAATGATGAGTTTTAGCCCTGGCTGGATAGCTCTGTTGCTTAGAGCATCATCCTGATACTCCAAGGTTAAAGGTTTGATCCCCATTCAGGGCGCATACAAGAATCAACCAGTGAATGCATAAATAAGTGGGACAACAAATTGATCTCTCTCTCTCAAAATCAATCAACAAAATATTTTAAAATAGTGAATTTTACAAACTAAAAGAATTTTACAAACAATATCCCAATTATGTTAAAAATAAGGAGCTGCCCTAAGTCGGTTTGGCTCAGTGGATAGAGTCCTGGCTTCGATTCTGGTCAAGGCATGTACCTTGGTTGCGGGCACATCCCCAGTGTGGGGTGTGCAGAAGGCAGCTAATCGATGTTTCTCTCTCATGGATGTTTCTAACTTTCTATCCCTCTCCCTTCCTCTCTGTAAAAAATAAATAAAAATATATATTTTTTAAATAATTATTATTATTATGTGCTAAACCTGCAGGGCACCAAGGATACATGTAAAGAAGGTTTACTTTTTTCCATTAATAATTTCTGGTAGTTATTCATTATAGAATGCACAAAGCAAGCCACAGCAATGACTGACTTTTCTTCTGCTTGCAGTCTAACCGTGTTTTGAAATTTCATAGACTTTGGTTTTGTGGTGACCTGAGAATTTGCTGAATTAAGCACATATAAGCAATTAAAAATACCAACCAGGCCGAGACCGGTTTGGCTCAATGGAAAGAGCGTCGGCTTGGGGACTGAAGGGACCCGGGTTCGATTCTGGTCAAGGGCGTGTACCTTGGTTGCGGGCATGTCCCCAATAGGGGGTGTGCAAGAGGCAGCTGATCGATGACTCTCTCTCATCGATGTTTCTAACTCTCTATCTCTCTCACTTCCTCTCTGTACAAAATCAATAAAATATATTAAAAAAAAAAAAAAAAATACCAACCAGGCCCAGTCAGCATGGCTCAGTGGTTGGGTGACAACCCATGAACCAGGAGGTCACGGTTCAATTCCCGGTCAGGGCACATGCCTGGGTTTCAGGCTCAGTTCCCAGTGGGCCGTGTGCAGGAGGCTGCCAATCAGTTGATGTTTCTATCTCTCTCTCCCTTCCCTTCCTCTCTGAAATCAATAAAAATATTTTTAATATATTTTATTGATTTTTCACAGAGAGGAGGAGAGAGGGATAGAGAGTTAGAAACATCCATGAGAGAGAATCATTGATCAGCTGCCTCCTGCACACCCCCTACTGGGGATGTGCCCGCAACCAAGGTACATGCCCTTGACCGGAATCGAACCCGGGACCTTTCAGTCCGCAGACCGACGCTCTATCCACTGAGCCAAACCAGTTTCGGCAATAAAATATTTTTTAAAGAAATAAAGAAATAAAAATACCAACCATACCTAATGCATTATGAAAAAAACGGTTAATGGTGAATTTAATCTCAAATAGAAAAGTCACTGGGAAGAGTAATGAATGAGTGAACGCAAACATCTCTGGAAAACAGTAAGGGGCTTCGTTGGCCAACCAGAAATGATAGACTCCCCCCAGCATGGGAGGCAGAGGGGATTGATGGGAGAAGGAGGCCACAGCCCAAAACGTGTCCAAGAGGCTGGGAGAGCCCCCGGGGTGCCCCAGTCTCTGTGTGGGAGCCCAGCAGGGCCGGGCCCCAGGGAAGAGGACAGGAGCATCCAGGCGGGTCAGTGCCCCAGATTCCTCACCCGCTGATGCCACAGAGCTGGAGGCCAAGCATCTCCCCAAGGAGGCTCTGGGGGGAGGGATCTGGGTGGTGCCCTGCGGCTGGTCAGACTTGGGGGGAAAGGACCCTCCAACCCAGAAGACCAGCCACTGGCAGACCTGCCCCTGCTACTCCCCCACGGCCACTGAAGTGGGCTCCACAAGCCCCCCAAGTCCTGAGATCCATCATGCAAACTAAAACCAAACATGAGCCGAAACCGGTTTGGCTCAGTGGATAGAGTGTCAGCTTGCGCACTGGAAAGTCCCGGGTTCGATACCAGTCAAGGGCATGTACCTTGGTTGAGGGCACATCCCCAGTAGGGAGTGTGCAAGAGGCAGCTGATCGATTATTCTCTCTCATCAATGTTTCTAACTCTCTAACCCTCTCTCTTCCTCTCTGTAAAAAATCAATAAAAATATATATTTAAAAAAAAAAAAAAAAAAAACATGAGAGGAAACCAGCATGGAGACGAAAGAGCCCTAAACTAAAAAATACACTAAGCTTGAGGAAGCAGACACAGGAAAAACAGCCGTTAGAGTCAGTACAATTAATATTCTCAGAGGAAATAGAGCTATGAAAGGGAATCCCCTGCCCACCCTCACGCCTGGTTGGTGAGATTGTAAATTGGTGCAGCCACTATGGGAAACAGTTTTTGAAAGTAAAACTACCTTATAACCCAGAAATTCCACTTCTGGGTATTTGTTCAAAGAAATCCAAGCACTAAATTGAAAAGATACGTGGCCCCTATGTTCACAGCTGCAATAGTCACAGTAGTTAGAAGGTGGAACAACCCAGTGTCCATTGATATCTACACTAACAAAAGAGAAAGATGCAAATAGACTGTACCTTCTCGACACCCACCAGCCAATCAGGAGTGCATATGCAAATTAACCCAACAAAGATGGTGGGTTGATTTGCATACACAGGCACCCAGCAGCCGGGGTGGGGAGGGACGCAGGCGTTCAGTCCTGCCCCAAGCATCTCTGGGCCTCTGGGCAGCATGGGAAGGCAGAAAGGTAGCTCTGAGCTGGAGCAAAGGTAGTGCAGGCAGCTAGGGGAAGGAAGGCCCATTCTTGCACAAATCTTCATGCCTCTAGTGGATAAATAAACATACAATGGACTGTTGTTCAGCCTTAAGAAGGAAGGACATTCTGACACATGCTACTACCACGTCATGTACCATGAGGATATTATACTGAGTGAAATAAACCAGCCACAAAAGGATAAAATTACATGATTCCACATACATGAACTTCCTAGAGTAGTCCATTCATGGAGAGTAGAATGGTAGTTGCCAAAGGGTGGGAGACAAGAGTAGGGAAAACTGAGGAGCTAATGTTTAATGGACAGAGTTTCAGTTGGGTAAGATGAAAAAGTTCCGGTCCCGGCCAGGTAGTTCAGTTAGTTAGAGCATCCTCCCAATACACCAAGGTTGCAGGTTCCATCCACAGTCAGGGCACATAAAAGAATCAGCCAATGAATGCATAAATAAGCGGAACAACAAATCTCTCTCTCTCTCCAAAAAATTAATAAATATTAATAAATAAATAAATGTAATCATTTTAATGCCATAGATAGTATTATCTTCTCCTCTTAAAAATTCCTTCTTTCTATATATGTGTAGGCTAGCTACTAGCCTACCCATTCTTCTCTCTACAGAGAGAAGCCTCAATCATCCAGGGATGGGGGAGGGGCAGAGCGGGCTTTCTCTTACACTACTCTATTGGTTGAATTTGGGGTAGAAAACACATATAACTTTCACTTAATCAAATGCAGTCATTCATTTTAAAACTTGAAAGCTCTCCCGGAGAAATGCTCACATAAACAAAGAATGGCAATGCTAGTATCAAACAAAAATGGAATCCAGGCAAACACATTATAAGGGAACAAAGAAGTAGCCTTCATGTTGATAAAAGGTCCAACTTGCCAAGAAAACATAATGTTCATGAACATTATACCTAATGACACAGCTTTGACCTTTATAAAGCAGAAATAGAACACAAGGAAAATCTGATGAAAAACAAGCATATTGGGAGATAGATTTTTTTTAAAATATATTTTTCTTGATTTTAATGAGGAAAGGAGAAGGAAAGAGAGATAGAAGCATCCAGGATGAGAATCATTGATCGGCCGGGACCGGTTTGGCTCAGTGGATAGAGCATCAGCCTGCAGACTGAAAGGTCCCAGGTTCGATTCCGGTCAAGGGCATGTACCTTGGTTGCGGGCGCATCCCCAGTAGGGGGTGTGCAGGAGGCAGCTGATTGATGATTCTCTCTCATTGATGTTTCTAACTCTCTATCCCTCTCTCTTCCTCTCTGTGAAAAATCAATAAAATATTTTTTTTTTAAAAAGAGAATCATTGATCGGCTGCCTCCTGCATGACCCCCACTGGGGATCGAGCGTGAAATCATGACTTGTACCCTGATCAAGATCAAACTGTGACCCCCTGGTTCACAGGTTGATGCTCAACCTCTGAGCCACACCGGTCAGGCAGAAGGTAGATTTTAACACATCTACCTCAGAAATCAACCTCTGTGGAGGTGACAAAACTAAATAAGAAGGTGTATTGTTTACATAATACAATGAATAAACTTGACCTAATAGGTATGTATAGAATTCTGAATGGAACAAACAGAATATACATTTTTTTCAAATACACTAAGCATGCTAAGAAATAAGAATATCCATTAGGCCAAGAAATCGCAACACATTCCCCACCACCACCTTTCAAAAAACCCACACAAAAGCAAAACACACACCAGGTAGCACACAAACCACATTCACCATAAGAACCTCACAACTTGCCCTGACTAGTTTGGCTCTGTGGACAGCGCATCAGCCTGCCTACTGAAGGGTCCCAGGTTCAATTCTGGTCAAGGGCATGTACTTTGGTTGCGGGCACATCCCCAGTAGGAGGTGTGCAGGAGGCACCTGATCGATGTTTCTCTCTCATTGACGTTTCTAACTCTCTATCCCTCTCCCTTCCTCTCGGTAAAAAGTCAATAAAAATATATAAAATATAATTTAAAAAAAATAAATTCACAACAAGGCGCTTATTGAGAGAGTTCCACTGGAAGCTCTTGTGTCAGACCTTCAGCTCACACTTCAGGTGACCCTCACCAGAGCCATGTGACTTAGGGAAGGCCCCACCTCCCTCAGCCTCCGTGTTCTCCCTGGAAAGCAGGGAGAAGGAAAGAATCTTCCCCTACGGGTCCTGCAAACATTAAACTCAGTAAACGTGAGTCCCTCCCTTGAGGAAAGGTGAAGTAAGTCTCTCCAAAATGTATGGGTGCATAAGGTCATGGCTGGTATCAATTCACAAAGCCACAGGGGTAACGGAGGCACCAGGAAGCCAGGCCAGAGTGCAGTCACCAAATCTCCATGCCCCCCACATTCTAGGTTCTGTCTCTCCCCAGAACCCCAACCCCACCCCCCACCCCAGGCCGCTTCGCTGGAAGGCGCCGCGAAGGGGAGGATGGCTCTTACCTTTGCAGGTCACACAGGCTGTGCACCGGTTGGCGCTGCCCAGGTAGTAGTCCTGCTGGCACTGCTTCCTGCAGTCGGATGGCCCCTGCGGGCACAGGTGCTGCGGGGACGACCCTGGAAAAGAAGCGGAGAAGCTCAGGGCAGGCCGCCGTGGCAAACTCTCAGGGGCACTCCTTCCACTCTCATCCCTGAAGCCTGTCCCAGCAGCACGCCTAACCCCCCACCGTGTCGGCGCAACTTGTGGCAGAGGCTTTGATGCCCAGGAGGGCAGGCCTTGCCCCCGGTGGCCCGGCAGGCAGGCAGGCAGGCAGGCAGCAGGGGTGAGGGAGAAGAGCTGGGCCTGGCACTCCAGGGCTGCCGCCTGCTGAGTGGGTAGCCTTGGGCAAGTCACAGAGACCTCAGGGGCACTACGTTAATAACAGGATCATTGAGAGGATTGGAGGGATTGTGAAGACTAGCATGCGTCAAGTCCCACAGCAGGGCAGGCACACAGCAGGCACTGGATGAGCACCGTTTGGGATTTTGTTTTTATCTTGTTTTTTACTATATTTTTATTGATTTCAGAGAGGGGGAGGGAGAGAGCGATAGAAACATCAATGCTGAGAGAGAATCACTGATTGGCTGCCTCCTGCACACCCACACTGGAGATCAAGCCCACAACCTGGGCACGTGTCCCGACTGGGAACCGAACCGTAACCTCCTGGTGCATAGGCTGACACTCAACCACTGAGCCACACTGGCTGGGCAGGAGCACTGTTCTTATTATTCCCGGGGTCCCCTGCATTGTGGGAACTGGGGAGCCTTAGTCCTCAGATCATGAGGAGCTTAACCCAGGCTGACTGAGAGGCTGGCAAAGCACCCAGAGTCTCTGATGGGAGAGGCATGATGCTGAGGCCCAATGCACCGGGCAAACGAGCTGGGAAAGTCCTGGGTGTCCACAGGGTGTTCTCCTGTCCTGCCCCACGTTATGTCTGAGTCTAGCCCGGATGTCCCCCATGGCCCTTCCAATTGAGCACGTGACCCAGGCAGGCCAATCAGAATGCTTCATCCTTCAGGATGGACACATGGCCCAGGCAGGCCAATCAGAATGCTTCATCCTTCAGGATGGACACATGGCCCAGGCAGGCCAATCAGAATACGTCATCCTTCAAAATTGGCAAGTGACCCAGGCAGACCAATCAGAATGCATCTTCTTCAACGCTGTGATTGGTTCATGGGACCAATGCCAGCCAATGAGCCCATCTCTGAGTTTCACAAAAGTTACCGGAAAAGAGCCCCCTCTTTACTGTTTCCTGGTTCAAAGGGCAACTTAGGTCCCGAGCTGCCCTGTCCTGGCGCTGCAGCTGGAGCCGGGTCCACCTGAGGAGGCGGTGACTCAGAGGCCATGGACACAGAGAAATGACTCAGATGACATCATCAGGCCAGAATCCATGGCGCCACGATTTCTCTGTTAGTGAGCCCATTGTGTCTCCTCCGTCTTGCTTGGGCCTGAGTTAGGCTTCTGCTAGTTACAACCCAAAGGCCCTGGACCAGGGGTTCTCTGCATCCCCTGCGCCCCGAAGCCATGCTGGGGGCGCCTGTGGACGCTGCTCAGAATGATGCTTTCAGGGCACAGACGCCGAGGCCGAGTGACTCATTTCGGGGGAATTTCCCCGCTCCACACCCGCTGCGGGCGCTGGTGGAGAGGCTGGCGACGGGGACCTGCCCCCGGGTGTGCACACCCCAGCCCGGGACAGAGGGCAGCGCGTCCCGTGGAAATCAGCACGTTCGCTTCCAATGGGGATGCAAACTGAAGGGAGTAAAGCAGGAGGTCGGGGTGGGGCGGGGGGAGAGGGAGCCCGGGTCTGGGGCCTCGCCCGGCCCGCAGGCCAGAAGGGGCTGCGGAGAGGCGCGGGCAGAGGCCCCGAGGGAGGGCAGGTGGCCAGAGCAGAGAGCAGACAGGCCGCAGGGGCTGGAGCCCCGGAGCCTAAGAACCATGAGGGTGACTCACTTCTCTTCTTTCCCGGATCCCACGGAGGTGTCCCCGCTATCACTTTCACAATCAGAAACAGCGGTGGTTCCGAGGCTGCCGCTGCGATGTTGCTCTCAGAATCGGTTCCCAAGTGGCCTCCGTCCCCTCCCGCCTCCGCCACACCTGCTCCGGCCTCTGATCGGGGCTCTGACCCCCAACGCGCCATTTGTCCCAACGTTCTGTCCCTGCGCTGGCCGCCGGCTCAGCCTCGGGGTGGTCAGGCAACCCCAGCTGCTTTGGCCCCACAAACTGCCCGCACCTAGTCTGGGCCCCAGGCCCCTGTCCTCTCCTCTCCCCCTCCCCTTCAGGCCCTGTGCTTCTGCCACACGGACCCCACCCCGTCCTTGAGTGCACCCCCCTTTGCTCACTCCAGACCTTGGCACCCTCCGTGCCCTCTGATCAGAGCACCCCTCCTCCCACCCTGGCCTGGCACAGCCCTGCTCACCCTCAGGACTCCTTCAGATGCCGGCCCCTCAATATTCAGAAGCCCCCCTGAATATTCCAGCCAGGCCAGGTCCCCAACTCCCAGCAGCGCCCTCTAGATGCTAACTGCCTGTTGGAAGGCTTCCCACCCACAGGCCATCCTTCTTAGGGAATTGCTCCGGCCCATCTCTGCCCCTGCAGTGGCCCCGGGCAGTCCTGGCTCGGGGACCAGAGTGGAGGTGACCATCTGGACTCCTCTGAGCCCTCAGATGCTCTGACCTTGGCTTTGGAATTGGGGGTGAAAGATGCTTGCCCGGTGTTTCTCCTGTTCCCTGGAGAACAGGGAGAGGAGATGTGGGCCAGCCAGGCCTCCCCTGCTCCCTGCTCACCGCCTGGGAGAAACCCTCAGCTCCTGGCACAGGTGGGACCCACTGCCTTGGCCCCAATCATACCGTGCTCTCCGGCTGGCACGAGGCCTGGCTTCACACAGTTCCTCCCACCCCTGGGCAGGGGGGCCCCTCCCTGCAGGCAGCGGCTCTGGGCCCAAGCAGGGGGCTGATCCTGGAAGCGGGGTGCAGAGTAAGTGGGGGGTTTGGGCTCTTCTCGGATATGCTCTGCCACCTCCCAGATGCAATGCCATGGGGGTCAGCACCAAATAAGGTGGGAGGGCTTGGGGTTCCGAGTTAGATGGCCACAGGGGAGCCCCACCCGAGCCACTTGCTGGCCCATGGCCATGGACAAATCCCTGACAGCCCCGTTTCTGATCCGGTTCAGTGAGCAGATAGGTAGGCAAAGAGGTTGGCACAGTGGCTGGCACAGAGCATGCTGAGGAGGATCCTGGACCAACACGGGAGGACTTGGGCCAGGAAAGCCCTAGAGCAGTGCCCTGAGCGGGGACCACACAGGGCAGAGGCAGGCACCGGGCTCCGTCACCCTCTGACGTCAGTCACGGCCACGGTTAGGAGCAGTGCGTGAGCTCCCCGTCACCAGGGGTGTGTAAGCAGAGGGCTGGGGATCAGCTGTCAAGGATGCTGGAGAGGGCGTTAGGGGCCTGGGCTACAGGCCGGGTTCGGTGACATCTGACATCTCAATTTCAAAGGCTCCAGGCCCCCGTTTCCTTCCTCCACCAGCCCGCCCCCACGCCCTGCCCCACAGCTGAGCGCTGATGGCAGAGAGGAGGGCGGCAAAATGTCAGAAATTTCCCCACGGTGCCGAGGAAGGGGGTTTTGCGGGTTTTTCATTTTTCCTCCCTTGTCTGCCCGGAAGCACAAGGTCAATAAAACTCCACCAAAATGCCCCTCCCACCGCAGCGGCAGGAGGTGCTGGGGGGGAAGAGGGGAGGCCCAGTCACTGAGGGCGTGGGGGAAAGGGCCCCTCCTCCCAAGCCATAGCGTCTACGAGGAGGGAGGCTGGGACCGGATGTCACTCCCTCCCCACCTCTCTGGCAAGGCCCCCTCAGGCTGGGGTCACGGGGGCCTGAGGAGGTGGGAAGTGTCTGCCTTGCTCTCTGCAGCTGGATCGTGGGACAGACAGACAGCAGATAGGGGGTGGGTGGCCCGAGGAATGGGAAGAGGGATGGCAGGTGAGGAGGATCTGAGAGTCGGCAGGAAGGCCAGTGGGCCACGCTCCAGAACTCTGGCTGCAGTCGGCCTGGGAGAGGCAGGGTGCTACCAGCCACACAGCCCAGAGCAGGCTGGTTAGGGCCGGCTTCCTGAAGGGGTGCAGAGCTGGGGGGGAGGGGCAGTGGGGGAGGGTATCCCTGGTGCCCACAGGCTTGGACAGAGGCCCAAAGACGGGAAAGCTCACAGTAGGTCCAGAGGACACCAAGCACAGCAGCTCCTGCAGAAAGGTGACCAGTGGCCTCGCCGTGAGAAGGAGCCATAAACAATGTCTGATGGCTGCATGGACGGGTGGATGGAAAGGGGGTAGGGAGGTGATGGGGATGAATGGAAGGGGGAGAGCTGTGTCCCCTCCAAATTCATATGTTGAAGCCCTAACCACCAATGTGACTGTATTTGGAGACAGGACTTTTAGGAGGTCGTTAAGGTTAAGTGAGGTCATAAGGATGGGGCCCTGACCCAACAGGATTGGTGGCCTTATTAAAAGAGAAAGAGATCTCTCTCCTCTCCTCTCCTTTCCTTTCCTCCTCTCTCTCTCTCTGTTTCTCTCTCTCCCCCCCCCCCCCTCTCTCAGCCATGAGAAGGCAGTTGTTTGAAAGCTAAGAAGAGATTTCCCACCAGAAACCAAGTCCTGCCAACACCTTGATCTTGGACTTGTAGCCTCCAGAACTTCGAGAAAATAAATGTCTGTGACTTAAGCCCCCCAGACTCTGGTACTTTGCTGTAGCAGCTTGAGCAAACTGAGACAGACAGCTAGATGGACAGGGGATGGAAAGAGGGATGGGATTGGGAGGAGGGGATCTGAGGAGATGGCAGGAGAGCCAGGGGATGAGCTGTGAGTGGGTGAAAGGATGCATGGGCAGGAACATGGGTGGGTGGGCAGGAACATGGGTGGGTGGTGGCCAGCCAGTTAGGCAGTGAGGCCCTAAACACTAAAAACAGACAAGCACGGGGACCCAGCTGACATCTACTTCAAAACCAACACCAACCCCCAAAATAAAGGCAAGAAAGGCTATTTTTTTTTTCTCCTGTCATGACAGCAATTTTTAGAAATAGAAAATACCAAATTCGCCCAAACCAGTTTGGGCTCAGTGGAGAGAGTGTCAACCTGCGGACTGAAAGGTCCCGGGTTCGATTCTGGTCAAGGACATATACCTTGGTTTCGGGCACACCCCAGTAGGGGTGGTGCAGGAGGCAGCTGATCGATGATTCTCTCTCATCAATATTTCTAACTCTCTATCCCTCTCTCTTCCTCTCTGTAAAAAATTAATAAAATATATTTTTTTAAAATACCAAATCCTTTCCCTAAATGCTTTTTGGCCCTCAGTTGGCCTGAGCATGGGCTCCTCTGGCCCTCGGGGTCTGGGAACAGACAGACCAGGCTTCCTGCCCAGCTCAGGTCATCGGCCCCCAATGACCCAGTGTCCCCCGCCAGACGGCAATGCTTAGGAGCCTAGAAGGTGCACATCCAGGCCCAGAAATGGGACGCGGTCAGGGGAGTATTGACAGCTTGACTCTGGGGGCCCAGAGCCCTGGCTCCAGCCCAGCCAGTTCTCCATTTCCTAGTGTGTGACCTTGGGCAAGTCACTTAACCTTGCAGCACCCCCATAGCCTCATCTGCAAACGGGAATCCTAACGGATAATGATGAGGATCTGATGAGACAAAGAAACACATGTGACCACCTCAACCTAGTGCACATATAGCACATGTCCTCTGAGGGGCAGCTGTCAATCAAAAACAAGAATTCACAGCTTGGCCAGCGTCGACCTATGAACCATGAACATAGTTTGATTCTCTATCAGGGCATATGCCCGGGTTGCAGACTCAATCCCCAGTGTGGGATGTGCAGGAGGCAGTCAATCAGTGATTCTCTCTCATCATTGGTGTTTCTATCTCTTTCTCCCTCTCCCTTCTCTGAAATCATGATATAGATATAGAGATAGATAGAGATGAAAATACTAGAGGCCCAGGTGCACGAAATTCATGCATGGGTAGGGTACCTAGGCCTGACTTGCAATCAGAGCCAATCTTCCCCAGCAGCCGGCCCCACCCTCAGTTCCCCTTTCCCCATTGAGTGATCGGGGCCTATGGGCTGGAGGCAGCTCCCGGTGGTCAGTGCACGTCATAGTGACCAGTTATACTGCCGTCTGGTCGATTTGCATATTATGCTTTTATATATATAGATATACTGTATATATATTTAAAAACAAAAACAAGAACTCATGGTGGGATGGCCTTCAGAATCGATAGCCAACATGACAATGACAACATTGGCTCCCATCTTCCCCACACCCCAATCCCCCCGTCCCCCAGCCCAGCACCCCACTCACCCACAGGGCAGCGGTAACAGCACCTCCCGGCAGTCTTGTCATAGTAGCGGTTGGGGTCTCCAGCACAGGGGTCCGTGGGGGCTCGACCCTGGAAAGTAAGACAAACTGGTGGGGCCCAGTGGGTCCCGGACACCCATCTTCCCTCCAGATCCTCAAGGTCCTTGACTCACTGTCAAGGCCAGGCCTACCACCAAGCCTCACATTACCAAAGAGAAATCAGGATGGGAAACACCTGATCTCACTTCTCCTCGAATTCCAGCCTCTATAGCTCAAGACTCCCTGATTGAGCTTCAACTTATGAACCAGGAGATCCCAGTTCGATTCCCGATCAGGGCTCCTGCCAGGGTTACCAGCTCAATCCCCAACATGGGGCGAGCAGGAGGCAGCCGACCAATGATTCTCTCTTATTATTGATGTTTCTATCTCTCTCCCTCTCCCTCCATCTCTGAAATAAAAATAGATCTTAAAAAAGAGAGAGAGAGGGAAGTCTTGCTGGGACTTTGGGGAAGGACCTTTGTCCTTCCTGGTAGAATGAAAGTGGGGCCTGAAGCAGGTTTCTGTCCACCCAGAACCAGGAGCTCCAGGGAGGGGGGGGGGGGGAGAAGACCAGGTGGAAGGGAGCCTGTCCCACCAGTGTACCTACAGCAGCCCGGATGGTGCCTGACAGACAGGAGGAGCCACCTATGAGATGTGTGGGGTGGGGCCCTCTTGGTCAGGAGGAGAGGAAAGCAGAAGCCATTTACCCCCACCCCAGAGGCCTGGCTGCCTCTGCTCTTCTCTCCACTCAAGGGAAGAGTGAAAAGTGAATACATTTTCCTGTTAAGCTCAGAGAGCAGCCAGGAGGCCCGTGCAACAGGAGGTGGGTGGGTATGTGGAGTGTGTATTACATTCTTTGTTTGCTCACCTGAAACATCACCACATAAAACTGAAGTAATAGAGATAACCTGACGTTTGCACACATCCAGGCACACAGCACCAGCTTTGCCCGCACCTGCCCGGCCTCCTCCCTCCGGTAAACCAGGCTGCTGGGCCTCTCCAGGGGCAGGGACCTGCCAGGACCCCCAGCCCAAAGCATCAACCATATGAGCATGGAAGCCTGTGGGAGGCCTGCCAGGCCTGCTGAGTGCGGGGAAATTTCTAGGTCCTGGGCCAGGGTTTTCCCCGCCTGGCCTGCCTGCTCAGCTCATCAACAGCTATGGGCTCCCCAGGGCCCGGGGGACAGAGGCGGGGAGCCTGGCTGCCCTCCACCTCCTGCCGCCTCACCCCAGGCCACTGGAGGAGTGTACGGGGTGGAGAACGGGGAACGCGCTGTATCTGGCATCACTGCCCCAGGCACACATCTCCTTTATGCCACCCAGCCTTTCAGGTGAGGAAACTGCACCTGATGGGTGCAGTCACCCACCCAAAGTCACACAGCAACTGAGTGCAGAGAAGACACTGGGGCTTCCCTGTGTGCCCTGTTCCTCTCTGGGCCACAGGCTTCCCCCTTCCTATCCTGCATAATAAAAGCCTAATATGCAAATCGACTGAATGGCAGAACAACTGGCACTGACCACCAGGGGGCAGATGCTCAACGCAGGAGCTGGCCTCAGCCCACAGGCCCCAGGCCAGCCAAGGTGGATGCCAGTAGGGGGGGCCCCCTGGTCACCCCACCAGTAACCCCACAGATTATCCCTGATCGCCAGCCAGACCTGGGGACCCTACCCATTCATGAATTTCATGCACCGGACCTCTAGTCTATAATAATAAAAGGGTAATATGCTAATTAGACTGGACAGCCGAACAACCTTCCGCACGTCCTTCTGGATGATCTTCCAGACGAAGCCGTGGCTGCGAGGACCGAGCCCCTTGCACGGATTTCATGCACCGGGCCTCTCGTGTTAAATAAAAATGTCCTGAGAAGGGCCTATCGTATCTGTGTCCATAATCTGAACCGAATCACAAGGAAATATCAGATAAAGCCAAACCAAAGGCCTTTCTACAAAACAACTAGCCTGGGCTCTAAAAATGCGGACGATGAAACAAAGAACAGCTATGGAATGTTTCCAGAATAAAGAGGATGAGAGACGGGATGTCTGAATGGGATGTCTGGGTTGGGCCTGGAGTGAAGGTGGAAGGCAGGTATCGCTGTAGAGGAGAATATTGAGGTGCTGATGAAATGTGAATGGGGACTTTATGTCTGATTATGTTCTACCCATGCTGAATGCTTGAATGTGAATTTAAGTCAGAGATGATGCTGATTTGATTAGGGTGAAGGATCAAAATGTCTGCCACACACTTGCAAATGGCTCAGTAAAATAGAACAACAACAACAACAACAACAACAACAACAAGATGATGATGTATATATTAATACATAAAGAGAGAGGAATAAAACCATTGTATAAAACCACACAGGTAAACAGGAGCTCAACAATAAATCAGTGTAAGGCCATGGCTTGCCACCAGGGGGAGCTGCCTTCCTGCTGGCCAGAGAGGCAATTGTAGCCCATCAGAGCCACACCAACGGGGTACAGGACTGTGGCCTCCATTTCATACGGGGCTTATGGGGAAAGGGTTTAGCCCCCTAAACCTACGGAGGTGCTGGACCCCAGCTCCCCCAGACATTTCCAGAGACGTAGGTGGGGTTGAGGTGGGGGCATCGCTCAGCCCCACCCCCCACCCACTCCTTCTCCGGCAGACATGGGGATTTTTTGTTGATGTTGTCTATGATGTCATCGTTTTACAGGCACCCAGAAAACGGGGTCAGTGCATGCACACATGTAGAAGTAGCAAAGGCGGTTATGGAACCCACAGCCCTGTTAGAAGCTGGTCTGTTACCGTGGAAGCTAGTCTGTGAGGTGAAAGACCTGCCCAAGCTCCACCTCATAGGGGGTCAGGCGCTGAGTCCCGGTCAGCTGACCCCTGACCACCACACAAGCACAGGAAGCACCTACTGTGCGCAGAGCTGGGTGGGCCCCGAGCGCCCTCTAGGATCTGTGGCTCCCATGGGGAGGCCACCCCACCTTCCCAGAGGTGGCATCTGGGGACCTGAGCTTCACCCTTGCAGCACCATCTGTGGTCCCCAAAACCTGCTCCAGTCTCCTGCCCCAGGCACAGCGCTCACCCCCAGCCCATTCATCCCTCTCTCTGCCTTCTCTCCCATCTTCCCCACTGCCCCACCCCCATGGCCTCCCACTGCCCACCACAGGGGCCCCTCACCCCCCCCCCAGCTCCTGGCAGAGAGGGCAGCAGCCTGGGCATCTGCGGCAGTGGCAGCCGGGAAGCCTGGCCTCCTGGGTGTCAAGGCCCCACCAGTCCCCACTGGCCATGGGCCCAGCCCCCGGGCAGCCCGTCGCTCCCGCTGCCCCAGGGGAAGAGGAGAACCAGCTGGGCTGGGCTCTGGCCACGACCGGGGAGGGAAGCGGGGACAGAGCGGGGAGTGGGAGGGGGGAGCCCGAGGCCGGGGGGGGGGGGGGGGCTTTTGGGTGGGGTTCCCCGGCAGGTTCGAGGCAGCGCGAGGTGTCCGCCGAGTGATGAGCTGTGCAACCAGAGGCCTGTGGCTCAGCCTTAGCAGCATCGAGAGCGAGAGTGGCCGGAACCTTCCCATTTCTAGGCCGTCTGGTTTCGGGTGGTTTGGTTTTCCCTGTAAAACCTGGTGCAGATCACTCTCAGAAAGCCCCACCTGGCTCAGCGCGGAGGGGGAGGGAGGCCGGCCACACCTGTAGCCGCTGAGCTTCTACAGAAGGGAGTGGGCCGGGGTGGGAGAGGACAATCAGACACAACCTATCCAAAGGGGCCGGAGCTGGGCAGAGCTGGGAGGTGCACCCCAAATCCATCTGGAGGGGCCCTTCCCCCTATTACTCAAGGTGAGGAACCTGGGCCAGCAGGTGAACTTGCTCAAAATGCAGAATCCCGGGCCCCACCCTATACCTACTATCTATCCCATTTCACAGACGGGGAAACTGAGGCACGGCGAGGTCGAGAAACTTGCCTAAAGCCACACAGCCAGGCGGTGTGAGAGCCTGGGTCGTCTTGCAAGGCCTCTCACCCACCAGGATCTCCTGTCCAGTTCTGCCCTCAGATCCACCGGCTCTCCCTCACCTCCCTACCGCCTGGTCTTGACAGCGGCCGCCTAAGGGTCTCCTCACACCCATCCCCACCCCCCATAGCCCACTCACAGTGCGATGCCAGAGGGACCTTGTCTTTTAAAAAAAATTATTATTTATTTTTATCTATTTTATTGGTTTTTTACAGAGAGGAAGGGAAAGGAATAGAGAGTTAAAGACATCAATGAGCTGAAACCAGTTTGGCTCAGTGGATAGAGCGTCTGCCTGAGGACTGAAAGGTCCCAGTGGGGGGTGTGCAGGAGGCAGCTGGTCGATGTTTCTCTCTCATTGATGTTTCTAGCTCTCTATCCCTCTCCCTTCCTCTCTGTAAAAAATCAATAAAATATATATTTTTAAAAAAGAAAGAAAAGAAACATCATTCCCCACTGGGAATGTGCCCACAACCAAGGTACATGCCCTTGACCGGAATCGAACCCGGGACCCTTCAGTCCACAGGTTGACGCTCTATCCACTGAGCCACACTGGTTAGGGCCAGAGGGATCTTTTCAAAACACACATCTGCTCCCCTCTCCTCCCTGCCCGCCATGGAAGACACTCAGATGGCTTCAACCCAACGAGGTATGAAGCCCACCGTCCTGACGATGGCCCAGGAGACTGGCCCCCTAGCCTTCTTCCCATCCCCGCTTACACCCACTCCACCCTCCCTCCAGCAGCCCTGCACACACTGGTTCCCTGACCACCCCCGGCCCCTCGTCCAGAACACCTCAACTCCTCCTTCAGGCTTCACTCACGCACGCCCCCTCCTCAGGACCCCTCCCTGGTCACCCGTCCAGGTGAGCTCACACGCAGCAGGCTAATCAAGGTGTGGGCAGGGCTGGGTCCTTGCCTCTAGGGGAACCCATTTCTCGTGGTTAACACTGAGGCCCTGTCTCTTTGTTGTTGATCAAGGTCCTTCCCAGCTCCTCGGGGGCTGCCACGGGGTCTCCCTTCGCTTGGCTCAGGGCCCCTTCCTCCACCTGCAAAGCCAGAAACTGGGGGT